TAACTTTGCAATACCATCCTCCATGAGACTCCCCAACTGTGAGTGTTGTGAAGTGCATGGCATCGTTCACTTGGCAAGGTGACCGCCCTGAGCCGTGGTCTTACCGGGGTCCTGCTCCGGGTTACATGGTTCTGGTTCGGGTGCTACTGAGCTCATCTGAGCTCGATGCATGCTGCGTGCAGGTTGCTGTACATATTATGTCGCTGAAGGTACTATTCTAGACTATGCTTACACGCAGTCGTTCGCTACTCCCCGCCCCCCCCGACCCATGTCAAATTTTGGCATCTCACCGTGTTGGCAGCTGGTCAGCCTGTGTGCAGACTACGACCCTCCCATGCCGTTCGAAGTGTCAGTGCCAAGGCAGCTTCATGACAGACGACCTCAACCAGGGACACATTGAGCTACTCTGCTGGCGTGGTCTTAAGAGTAGCCACGATGTGCAAGTGTTCTAGATAGACTGAAAGTGGAGCGAGCATAGGGTGTGAGCTCTCGGCCATGTGTATATGATACCTCTTCTGAGAAGCTAAAGCAGCTACTGCAACCATGAGCCTGGAATGATGTATCACTTGCTAAAGTTTGATGTTATCTCTACAGCCAACGTTGGTACACCCGGTAGTTAGTGTCTCGCACTATCAATTCGAAACATGGCATTTCGGCGCCCCAGTTTCACTAACCACGATCTCGAATCGACATGGTCAGTTCCACAGCCCCCTTTGAAACCCTAAAGTACCGTGACGAAGGTATGGCTACTACCTCAGCATCGCAGTGGGCCTCATCTTCTACGTGGCTTTTGTTCGCTCTATGCGGCTCTTCCGGCCAACAGCCGACTAGGAAGATGGGAGGCTAGAGATTACTGGGACCATGCACTGCATGAAAGTTAGACCAGCACATGTTTGCTCGTCAACACTCAAGGGAGAGAATGTCGAGAGAACTTCGAGAAACAATCAGCCACAAGTGAGATTTGAGAGAAACTTGAGAGACCATCGAGGGACTTAGGAACACCTTGGTAAGCGGCTGGAAGAAAGTGCATCAAATTGCAAACAACCTGCCTGAACCCAGGATGTATCGAATCTTGAGTAAAGTTTCGGGGTCCTATCGCGAGTCTGGCAATCTTCTACCGGCTGTTGCTGTTGCTTTGCGGGGAGTGTGGGAGTAGCGGTGGCAAGAACAAGCGGCTGGTGTACTCTAGCTGAAAGCGCCTTCTTACGGGTAGAGTAGCGGGGCAGGGTTCATCGATGTATAAAGCATGGCCATGTTCAGAACTCTCCGGAGAATCCGGAGAATCTGTGAGTAACTTGCCACTGCTACCTCACACCGAATGACCGCGCGACGATAAACAGTAGGTTGACGATGCTCTGGGGTGTATGATGCCATTTAGTGCTTCCAAACTCTGACATGTCCAACATCTCTGCAAGATTATTCGTAGTCGTACATCCAAGCAATGCGCTTGGTTGCCACTCAGTTCGCCTTGTTGCCGCCTCAAGTTCTTCACATGTCGGTGGTGTCTAGCAAGGACTTGGTCAAAGAAGATAAAGAATGCCCATGAACCCACGTGCCATCTTCAGTGCCAGTACGGCGAGAGAATAGAGCAGCTTCGGTATGAAAACTAGGGGGTTGGAGATATGCAGGGGGGCACGCTATGGGACCCATTCTGTGCTCTTGTTTCGACCAGTGCAAGCAAAGAATGGCCCAGCCTTAGCTCGTAGACCGGCCTTCTCAGAGAGAGCCAACGAGACAATTTGCGTGGCTGAGCGAACACGTCGACAAGCCGATATCGAGTATTGATAGGGTTTGATGCATGTGACTGACTTGGCCAGTAGTCCCTGATGCTGTCGCTCATGCAGTTTGCTGCATGCCAAGATGTATAGGGAACTGATCGCACTGTTCTCCCTGCCACCGGAGATGGCCAAAAGCGACGCGCCTGCCGGCAGATAGCTTCAGATCCCAGTCCCTGTTGCTGCAGACATGTGCTCAGGGGCTCACATGGCGAAACTCCCACAAGTCCAAACCGAATGTCAGCTCCCTTCAGTGCGTTCAGGTGCTTGGTTCGGCTCTCTACCTGCTACGGTTGGGGCTACCTAGTGGCTACCTCTGGAGGTTCTCCTACAGAGAGGCCTGTGTGCATGTTGACTCCCGCATGTGTGTAGCAATTGCGCATCTAATCAGTTCAGGTGCTGTGAATTTCGTGCCGTCGCCCTTGCAGTTGCTCCAAGTGCTTTTTTCCTGCATATTTTCGGCTGCGAAGGGCTTTGGGCTGCTGCATAAAATACAGGGTTTCAAGTTGGTTGCTGCCGTTCCACACCCTGAAGGTTTGACGAGATGGAGCCGCACTTAGACTCTTGCAACATTTCGGGACGAAAGTTCTTAATGATTGCAGCTGCATAGTTTCCTTTTTGCTTGTCAGACGATTTGACCTTCGTATGGAGGAGGTGGCTTCAAGTTGTTTCCTTTCGGAGACCTGGCAAAGCACGGGAGGTTCTGACTTGCACCCAAGATTTCTGCATTGACCATTCACATGGATTCACATGGTATTCTTCAACTCCAGCCATGAACAAATGTAGCGATCACAGAACATAAGATGGCCTGCAAAAATAAGCTCGTGGCCTTACCGAAGCCACTTCGAACCTTTTCAAAGACCGAGGCAGCTTGTGGCAAAGCTTGAAGCCCCTGCCACGGCTCGCTGCGAGGCTGGCTTTCCATGAAGAGCCACGAGCGTTTAGGGTTTAGTGTTTAGGGTTGTTGCACATCTTCATTCCAGCGGTTCGTTTGCCCTTCTTGCAAGGAACTCTTGCAGCCATCTCAGCACTAGCCTCGACTTGACCAAAGACACCCGCCAACCTGTATGCTTGTATGCATGGGAGAAGTTTAGACGACCATGGGCAAAAGCGCCATCCTTAGTCGCACACGCCCCGTACGTTCCTAGGGACGTGGCTCGCTGCCTTTTGAACAGACCTTAAAGAAGAGTGGGTCACCGCGACCCAGGCACAAAGTTTTCCCAACCTACATGCATCTTGTGTGGTTCTTCCCCCATGCTACCCTAAACCCTAAACCCTAAACCCTAAACCCTAAACCCTAAACCCTAAACCCTAAACCCTAAACCCTAAACCCTAAACCCTAAACCCTAAACCCTAAACCCTAAACCCTAAACCCTAAACCCATACCGTTGGACTCAAGGAGCCTATACCCTTAAACACGCAAAGGCCGGCTCGCAGTCGCTCCCGATCGGCATTCCGCCAGGTCAACCTGAAAGCGTTACATGTTTCGCGCTCTCGATGCTGTTGGCTGGAATTACTTGTTCAGGTTTTACGCTTCAGAGTTTAGGGTCTGGGAGGTTCCGGGTGCGAAGGTTGGAGAGAGTCCTGTAAGGGGACCCGTAGTACCAGACGTAATGAGCTCCGTAGCCGCAGTCCCAACCCCCCCAAAGCCCACACATCCCCTTGTCATCCCAAGCCCACTCGAAGCACTCCCTGAACATGACACTTCCGAAGTCAGGTTCAGTACTCTCTAATTTAACCGCTGACGCGAGGCCTCCTCGGCAAGGGGTAAAGGGGGGGCACCCATTCCCGACCAAATAAAACGCGGCTGCCGACATGACCAGCCTGACAAGGAGGTACGTGGGTGGACCTTTCAAAGGTTCCTTAGACCTGCATCTAAATGCCTCATCAGGCCTCCAGCCTCGGCGGATTTTCAAGCTCAAGTCGTCTCAAGATTACTCAAGCCTCGAGTCTTACAGAGTTCTGGTGCAACTTCTCCGGTGTTTTGTACAGTCATCAGACGGCACGGAAGACTCCAGAAGCCCCTAGACCGCACAGCCGAAGTGCTTGCAATTCTATACTTCCTTTGCCAGACACCGCGGCACGGGACTAGCTTCCCGCGCGTACGACGTCTCAGACGTGCTCTGGTGTCCCTGGTGGAGGTGAAGAGGTGGGCCTGGGAAGCAGGGTCGCTCTTGATTGTGTGGAGTACGGTCCTGATGGTTTTTGGGGGGTTTGGGATGCGAGTTTGGGGCTTGTGATACACTCAGGCTCCTAAGGTGCTCACGTTTCAAGCAGTTGTTCGAGCCACCATGCACCCCCAGGTGAACGTTTGACGCACTGTCACTAGGGACGAGTACAATATCAAAGCTGAAGCATCCCAAGATCCTCTGATACTGCCGCGTTCTGATATTCTTGGACTCAGCCGAGCTCCAAGGGCGGTTATCAATGTATATGAAAACCTGTGAGCGTGAAGACTTGCGAGATCGGGTGCGTCGCCCGCAGGTGCAACCTGATGGCTCCGGACATGTCCTGCGCAGCCTGACATTTGGGCTTTCTCTGGGAAGTCTGTTTGCGGACTCGGAAATTTCCCGGAGTGTCACAGCAGCTCACCTTTGTAGTGACCGGCGGGGTTATCCTGCAAACTTTTTCTAGTGAGATGAGCGAGTGCTGTTCGGCCAGGTTTGAGGCTGTAGTCTAGTATTCTAGGCCAGAATATCCTTGTAGAGGACTTCTGTCTATTGACCGCCGCCTTAGCATGCCCAGACATGCTCAGGTTTTATTCTGCAGCTTAGGAGTGTGGAATGATGAGATTCCACAAGTGTATCTGCTCATTGTCAAGAGAAAGGAAAGCCCGAAACTTCTCACTGCCGCCGTGTCGCAGTGCACACAAGACCCTGCTGTTCTTGTCGATGTTAGGACTGTTTCGGCCTCGTATTGCCATGCTTGGGGCAGATTTCCTCTTTGGTCTCCTGAGACATTCTGCACCCTTCAGATGGCTTCATAGGCCTGCCCGGCCACTTTGGGCATCTTGTGTCCAAGCCAGACAGCTAGAGGTCGGTGGTTCCATACAGATCTTCTTCACACCAATGTTGTGGTCTCAGCCATCTATCTTATCTAGCTTAATGAAAAAATATGAGTAAGAGAAATACTTCCCGACAGTACCCTTGTTCATACAACCAGTCTTTCCAGACATGAAACCTTAAACTCCAGGAGGCATGTAAGAGTGCATGCTTAGCCCCTGCCATGCCGGTGGCAGAGGGATGGATTCAGCTGCAACGTCGGCAGCTGAGAGTGGTCTCAGCCGCTGCCGGAAACAGGGCGCCCAGGAGACCATGGGTTTAGGGTTGAGGGTTTAGGGCTTAGGGTTTAGGGTTTGGGATACGCATCTTCCAGGCGACGCACGGCCACGCAGAGGCTTTAGCGGTGTGCACAGCCTATTCTTGCACGAGAATTCCCGGCCCCCGGCCCCCCCCACCTTCTGAGGCGAAGTCTGGGAGTTGGACGCCGAAAATGCAGGTAGGCTGGCCAGGATCACATGCCTTGCCTGCTTCCACGAGAATTCGTTGAAACTTAGGGTAACTTTGTCCACTGCTGTGAGCAGAAACCCTTCAACTGCCCGTGGAAGGACCCCCCCAAAAGGAGTTTGCTCTTCACAAGCCCGAGTGTACGACAGTCCTTGACACCCCAAACATGCCGAAAGACTTTAAAGCACTTGGCCTGTGCAGGGCTCGACGCAGACATCGAGGTGGCCTTGTGAGTGTTATGGCGCTATTCTTTTCTGAAGGTTTCATGAAGCGGCACATATTCGGCATTTTTAAATGTAAACCTTCACAGAGGTGGGCTGGCTTGGGCTGACGCCAACCACAACTCAAATCATAATTGGGATGTTCTTTCCTTATACTAGCAGTCCTTAGTAGGGATTCTAATCAGGGGGGGTGCACGATAATCCTTATTAAGGAGCTGTGAGTATAAGGGGGGGAACATCCCAAAACAAAAATCGGGACGGACGGCTTGGCCTTACCCTGCTTGTAGCTTCTCAGCACCCCAGGAGTCCCAACGTTTAGGGTTTAGGGTTTAGGGTTTGGGGTTTAGGGGTTTAGGGGTTTAGGGGTTTAGGGGTTTAGGGGTTTAGAGGGTAGGGTTTTGACGACCCCAACCCTGCCCTTGGCCCCCGCGTCTTCGAAGACTCGAGCCGAAGTCCCAAGGCCAGCCCAAGTTTTTTGGGGGTTTCGGGTTTAGGGGTTTAGGGTTTAGGGATTGTTGCCTGACCAGCAGCGTCCCCACGAGCAGTTGCCGAGTCTATGGTCACAACGGGCCTGGGAGTTGAACTTCTGGCCATGGGTTGGGATGTCCCCGTTCTACGAACAGTCCTTAGTAGGGTAGGGATGATCGTACTCCCGATTGCAATCCCTACGGAGGACTGTTCGTATAAGGAAAAACACCCCCTGGCATGAGCCCTCAGCATATTTCTCTGAGCTCAAGGAGGTTGAAAACCGCATCCGTAAGTCTCGAATCTCTGATGAAGACTTCATATTACTCATATTCATATTAGTTTTAACATTCTTCATATACAAATATTGTTAGTACTATGAATACGATAAATAATTATGAAAATATATATTGAGATTAACAATATTATGAATATGATGAATAATATTGCTATTGAAGTTTTGCTAGGCTTCACTGCGGCGGCTGGCGACTCTGCGTCGGCGGGAGGCCTTGCACCATCTTGCAACAACACCTTCAAATGTTGTGAACTTGGGAGGTCCCCTCTTATCCAGTAGTTGCTTAAGAACCCCCCCCCCAAAAAAAAAAAAGTTAAAAATATTCTTCCGTAAAAGGGTAACATAGGGATTTGTTTTCATTCTTTCAGGGTTCTTAAGCAAATAGTAGTTATACTAACAGTCCTCAATATGGATTCTAACAGGCGGGTACCATAATGCCTACTAAGGACTGCCAGTATGAGGGGGAACATCCCAAATGTTAAATGCTGCTAAGTGGAGGTTTCATTGAAAGCATTCTGGGCGCGATAGTTTGGAGCCCATGGGTGTATTTTTTGCAAGATACTTGCAACGACATTGCACCACATAACCAAAGCCGAGGGTGTTTTTAATGGACACGAACCAGACCGAGCATCTTCATCGGAACCGATGCAAGTAGGTACACCTTGACTGACAAGGCCTGAACTCTGCGACCCCGAATAAGTTCCTCCCAAAGATAGAAACAGCCACTAACTAAACCCTAAACCCTAAACCCTAAACCCTAAACCCTAAACCCTAAACCCTAAACCCTAAACCCTAAACCCTAAACCCTAAACCCTAAACCCTAAACCCCTGCCTGGAGGTCATGGAGGCAGGAATCCATGTAGCTCTCTTCACGGCCACTGGCTACATACAGTATCAAAGTGGCAGCATACGACTGCGCGGATGAGTGACAGCGTGAAGCCTCCACAAGTAGTTTCAGGTATCACCTACTTAGCCGAAATCCTCACTGTCCAAACTGCTTTGTCCACCCTTCAGCTTGCCTCACCCAAAGAATGGTGCCGGGCTCCGGCACAAGTCTTTAAATGACCCCCAAATCAACCTAGAATGAGCGCCTAGGACTCTTCGAGCATGGGCTATTAGGCCTCATAGTCGCTATAATCAACCCCAGAAATGGCCCATTTTCTAAACCCTAAGCCCAAAACCCAAAACCCTAAACCCTAAACCCTGTAAGGGGCTATAGGGTAACAGCCCGTCCTGGTTGAGCCTTGCAAAGCCAAAGGCAGAGCTGCTCTTCGGACTACGGGCCCTGCGCCGCGAGGCGTCCCATGCGGCCTCCGCAACCGCGGCCTGGCCGCGGGGGTCCAAGGAGCCACAAGGAAAGGGTTTAGGGTTTGGGGTTTGGGGTTTGGGGTTTAGGGTTTAGGGTTTAGGGTGTATTTACGGTTTAGGGTTTAGGGAGCCACACAGAAGGATGCAGAGAAGGTTCAGATGTCATGTTGTTTGTCGGTTCCTTGAGATCAATGAATAAACATCACAAATCCCTACTTCCACGATTTTGATTCTGACCATCACTGCTGCTAGTTCTGCTTCACGTATCCGTTTTGGTGGTTGGCGAGGGCTGCGGCTTGCAACCCAATCCAGTCCCAATCCTTGCCCTAAGCTTAAGCCCTGAAACAGTCGTCTTGATTCAACCATCTGAAAACCCTGCACCCCCAAGTTCTGATTCTTGCCCTCAACGAGGCCCACTTTCAGCGCCTCGGCTGTTGAGCTGGAGGCAGGCTGCCCAGAGTTTTCGGATTCAGGCTTTCAGGATTTGGGGATGTGTGGTAGCGCAGCAGGGCCTGCTTTGGAGGAAGTTCTGTTAGAGACCTGCGTTGCTCGAGGGATTTGAGTGTGTCGAAGGACAAGATTCGAAGTGCTACATCGGCGGGCCTTCCTGCGAGCCCATGTATCCTGCTGTCCTGTTCGGTGAACTGCTTGGCAGCGGCATTCAGAGAGTGCCAAGCTCCTCGCAAGAGTTTGGGTCCACACGCATTCATGCCAGTGCCTGACAAAGCACCAAGCTGTGCCCCTAAACCCTAAACCCTAAACCCTAAACCCTAAACCCTAAACCCTAAACCCTAAACCCTAAACCCTAAACCCTCTTCAACCAACCAAGCAACCTTCATATGAGCCGCATGATTCTTCCAGCGCAGGCGGTGCTGGGGAGAGGTCTGGCCAATGCCTGGGCAGAGTTGGTTACGGCGCTGGCCGGCTGGGGGAGAGGGAGGAGGGGGGAGGGGGAAGAGTTCCTCCGAGATCCCCGAACGAAGGAATTACTCTGCGAAAGTAGCAGATCTTGTGAGCTTCTGGTCCACACCCCGAATCCCCAAACTTCAATCGGCACCCGTCCGTTCGGCCATCTAACGGATCTAACGCCGGAGAAAGTGCTGCGAATGTAATACGCTATGTCACAATGGTGATGTCCTCCCTGGTGTGGTGGCAAACGCCCGCGAGCCTGCCTACAAAGTCAAAACCTTGAAGCCGAAGCATTGAGCAGGGCCACCCACCCTTCAGTGAAGTGCAGTCAACCCGGCCCCCCAAAATGTCATCCAACGCCGAACCCTCTGACCAGGTCCCCGAGAGGCTGGGTGACCTGGCGCGGACGCTGCAGCGGCCAAGCCGAGAGGTGTCGCTTCATTTGATTTTCTTTTTGGGGGGAGATGGGCGTGGGAGTTTTTCTCGCTCATACTGGTACGTGTAGTACTTAGAATTTTATGTTTGCAAATGCTTTCCCAGATCCTTTCACCTGTACGTTTTTTTGTGCTTGTTTTAATTTTACCCTTGTACGTAAACTTCCATTTATCGAACCTCTCCTTGTCGTTCAGCTTCATGTTGTGTGCTAGCAGCGGGGTCTCTGGGAGCCACGGTCGAGATTCTTGGAGGCCGCGTTACAGGGTTGGTTTTATATGGCTGCCTCGACAAATTTTTGGACGACCCGAATTCTCAACACGAGTCCGTGAGGAATCTCGGAAAAATTACCACAATTCTGGGGGATCAGACTAATCAGCATACTCCGTATGCTTCTATACATCTAAGTGATATACTACGAATGTTTATGCATGTACTTGCCTTACTTTCATACCTGCTTGTTTGCATTTCCTTGCTGGCACAATTTGTTTTTCTCTCTCTCTCTCTCTCACACACACACACGCACTGAGACGGCACGGGGCCAGGGCCGTCGACTTATCTTCTGGAGAATCTGGTTACGCTCGCTGAACATCTGGCAAACCAGGTATCTGGAATCTGAATGAACCATGATTTTTCACCAAACTTGTGTGATCGCAATACCAAACACGACTGTCGCACTCATTCACTGCCTAAAAGCCTAAAGCCTGGTTTCGGGAATCAAAAAGGGCCCGGCTTTCGCAGCTGTAAGTCAATGGCCCGGAAGAGGCGATGTAAGGCAAACCAGATCTAAGACCGAGCATGATGGTGACATTGCGCCCGGCATGAAGCAAATTCCGACGGTCATGTGGTGGACGGAGTCTCACACCCGCACACCCACCCATCCAACCGCGTGACACACCCATCCACACACACACACACCCCTACACGAACACCCGCACTCGGGCCTGCGCCCGCGCGTGTGCGCCGCCCGCGCAAGCTTGACAACTTTCTGAGCTCGGAAACCCGGAAACTTGGAGCCAGGTCCTCGGCCACATGGCCTCAGCGCTTTGCGCCCCTTCGGCGCCAGCATTGGAAATGCTCCTCGCAGCTGAGGTGAAGGCCAAGGACAAAGGGATGACGGTGATGTCGGCGTGTAAATGAAGTTCGTTTATCTCCTGAACTGCTACTGCCCGTAGCCTTGCAGTTGAATTGAATAGTCACCTTCGTCTTACGCGTGCTACTCTGCAGGGGATTCCTAGGACGTGCGTTTTGGGTCGAAGCTTTTGCACCTCTCTTTGTCAACAATTGCAATCACTTAACCTTCTCCCCAAATTGCATTCTTAAATTCAGTCCGGCCAGAAAATATTTGAATATAGGGGCCCTGCATGTAATTTGTGTGTAACCCACCCTGAACCCAAACCTTCTGGCGCTCCGCACTGACATGTTTGTTGCACGCGGACTTTGTGCTCAAGCTGTCGTAAGCATCAACTCGTCCTGGAGCCACGTCGCACGACACGGCCGAACCAGCACAGACAAAAAGCAGCGAGGCATCATGATGTTAGGCTCTGGAACGTGCAGGTGATGGAACACCGGGTTGGGGCCTACCAGCGAGCTTCCAAATTAGAGTTCTCACAGGGGTTGAGGCACCACGTATGAGCTCATGGGCAGGCACCTGTCTGTTTCGAAGTCTTTACACCCCCAAACTCTCCACATGTGAGTTGGCTTCCAGGCTTAAGTAAGTTTCTGAAGTCGCTTGTGGCCCCCATGGCAGAGCATGGCATCCAAGTCAGGCACCTTTCAGGAGAGGTCTTGCTGCTCGGCGGGTTCAGGCTTGATGGGGCTGAGCTGTTGTGGAGCTCTTATGCCTCAGAGCCCCACCATGCAGGCTGCAGATACGCAATATAGGGTTTAGGGTTTAGGGTTTAAGGTTTGGGGTTTAGGGTTTAGGGTTTATGGTAAAGCCCAGGTGGCCCCAAATCCGTAGTGCCACCCTCAACATTGTTGATGAGAGCATTTCTGGGCAAAGGGTTCTGCCACTTGAATCCTGACATCCTTGGCGTCCAGTTCCCTCCACTTAAGACCGTCTCTCCAGGTTGACAGTAGACTTCCAAGAAGCGCTGGAATGGTTGGATTTCAACCTGACACTGAAGCAGCGGCACCTTGGCATCAGTCCGTGGGAAATTGGTGAGTGTGATGTGAAGTGCTTTCGGGCTGCGTGGCTGCATGCCCAGGAGTGGGTGTGCTTTTGATCCTGGGTAGGTGTTACTCGAAGCCTGGAGATAGCTCATGTAAAAGCTGTTTCGTCAGGGATATAAGCCGTCATAAATGTTTGTGAAACTGGTGACACAGGAGGTCGGTTGTCTCTGTTCCTCCGTCTCTCCTCCCGCTCCCACTCTCTCTCTCTCTCCCTCTCTCTGGTGTCTCTCGCTCTGTCTCTGTGTCTCTCTATCTTTCTCTCTCTCGCTCTCTCTCGCTCTCTCTCTCTCTCTCTCTCTCTCTTTGTGCCCAATCGCCCCTCTCTCTCTCTCTCGCTTTCTCTCTTTCTTTTTCCCCCTCTCTCTCTCGCTCCCTCTCTCTCTCTCTCCATGTCTCTCTCTCTCTCTCTCTCGCTCTGTCTCTCTCTCTCTCTCTCTCTCTCTCTCTCTGTCTCTCTGCATCTGTTGTGCAGTCACAGAACTCTTACCCCCGGTGCGTTTTGGCTATGCTCTTGTGTGCATTTGCCGACAAGCAAGGCAGCGTCGGCAAGGGATTCCTGAATCCTAAGCATCCCCATGCTTTATCTTCATGTAGAACGCGCCTTTCCTAGGCATGTCTCGCAGACATTGGCCCGACTGCAGGCAGAAGCCAGCGATTCCCTCCAAGCATTTCTCAAAGGGCCTGAATCTACCCTTTCATGTACATACTTCTACCACCTGCCTTGCCAATCGAGTCAACAAGTGGCACTTCATGCAACTCTCAGCCTGCATGTGCTTCGTGTCTCCGGAGGTGGCGTGTAAAGGAGCTGTTGCGAAACCAAGGGCATCGTTGCTTGCTTGCCCTCCCCCTTTTTTTCATTTTTAACGAGAGTTCTTCGAATCATCAAATTGCAGCCCCGTGCAAGCACTGCTCAGTAAGACCAGCACAACGTGGAATTCAGCTCACGCCCTCGGGGCCAAGCATGTGTAAAGCTCGGGCAAGCCAGAGAGCCAGAGCTATATGCGATCAGGAGCTGGGGCTGGAGTTTCGTGTCGTTGTAAAGGAAGAGGTTCCCCCCTTATGACTTTTTGGTTGCTGCACTTGTGCGTTGTGTGTGGAAGATTGTTTCTAGGTTAGTTCAAGTTCACGTTTCGGCGCGAAATTGGATTTGGGTACCGGGACTGAGCTTAGAGATCACTGCTATTTGCTTTAAGAATCAGAACCCCAAAAAAAGATAACGCACATAATCCCCTTATTACCCGTATAGGGAAGAGTCTTTTTACTTGTGAGGAGGTCTTAAGCAAGCCGTAGATCAGCAGTCGTTTCCAGCTTTTGATCGAGCATGACCGAGCCCTGAGGCTTCGTGAGGTTTTCAAGGAGACATACGTACCTTATGGGTATTGGGGTCTCATAAGATAAGGGAATCCTACTATTTGGTCTTGTTGGTATTGGATGATACGGGAATCCTACTCTTTGGGGGGGGGGTCTACTTTCGTACACTCCCCGATGCCCGCTCGCAACGGCAAATGAAGTACACAACTCTCCCAACGGCAACAGCTTCGAGGCTTGCGATCATGCTTGGGTTCACGCCCTTCAGGCTCAAAGGGAAGGGAAAGGGTGCGCTCGGTTCAGGTCAGGCAAGTTGGAGGAGTTTGGGGGCTGGAGCGAGCTCTTTGAATCGTACTTCCTGAAGTTCCTTCTGCCGCGTTGCCTCACGCAGACCGACTGTTGGTGAAGCCACTTTGGTGTTAGTGCATTTGAGTGAAGCTTCGTAGCTGGAGATGGCTCAACAGCCTCGTGTACTCACCATTAGTTAGGCAGACATTCTTCATCATGATTTCGGAGGCTTCGGTTGTTGTGGGGCGACGTGGAGTTGCCGTACGGCCAGACCTTTGCGCAGAGACTTGGCAGCGAAGAAAGGCTGAGAGGCCACGACAGTCCGAGGTAGCAAAAGTTGTCCCAGAAGCCCCAAAAAACTCGCACGATGAGCATGGGGCGGGACTGCACGATTAATATCGTCGATGAGGTAGAAAGACCTCAGGAGGCTTAGGGTGGCCCCAGGAGGGTCAAAGGCTTCCAAGCAGGTGAATTTACAGGAGGGCCAGACAGTTGCCGTGGGGAGGGGGTGGGGGAGGGTGGGCCACAAACTCTTGGGCTGGGGAAGGTATGGAAGGTTGGGAAGGGGGGTCTGCTTGTTCCAGACGCCTCGGGTCAAGGCGAATTGGATAGGATAGTATGCGTTAGGATGTTCCCCCTTTTGCTACTTAATAGGGATCATTCTCGGGGGTACTAGAATCCCTTTTAAGGACTGTTAGTGTAATACTGTAAGGGGGAACATCCCAAAGCATGGGTTAGAAGCTCGTGCCAAGGCTGGGGAGTCCAAGGGACCTGCAGCTTGTCAAGCTTTCCATGGTGGAGGCACGCCATGGAAGTTACTTAAAAGCCTCACTCGACGCGTAAGCCAGAGGACAACCCTAAGCCCGAACCCTAAACCCTATATACCCTAAACCCTAAACCTAAACCTCCAAACCCTAAAGTCCTGCTAGAGGACTACGCCGATGAGTTGCTCCGTGCCGTGTCGCAAGAAGAGATCGTCAAGGTGGATGACCTCCTTCGAAAACCGCAAGATCCAAACTGCATGTATGCCGACGGCCACTCACCGATAAGCAAGACCAGTCAGCTGGGAAACGTCGCCGCTATATCCCCATTGGGAATTATTTCTTATTTTTGTTTATATAGAACCCTAAGAGGATAATAAAAACACTACTTTCATTAAGGTTCTAAGGGGAGTATAGATCCCCAAAACCCTAAACCCTAAACCCTAATTCCTAAACCCTAAGCCCTAAACCCTAAGGCCATTCTGCAGCTGCTGCTTCTGGCGGCGGCCGACATCAACCACACGCTCCCCTGCGGCCGCACGGCTCTGCATGAGGCTGCCAAGGAGGATTGCGGGGAGGTGGGCACTCTGAAAGAATCAGAAGGAGCAAAAAGAAGCCCTCCAGAAATGAATTTTGACACAGCTCGCTCTTTTGAGTAGGGAGCAGTATTACAGGGACTTTGGAGAACCCACAACTTTTGGAGAACCCCTTCAGCAGGTGGCCCTGCAGCTGCTGGCCGCAGGTGCCCAGAAGGATTTGGCCAACTTGGGCGGGGCCACGCCGCTCCACTTCGCAGCCAACCGGGGCCACACCCAGATGGTCCAGATCCTGCTGCAGGTGCCCCCCTCCAACAAAAAAGAATCCAGCTTTTAGCAAACAAACCACGAAAATATTTGGTTAAGTTCCACAAATGGAACACTTAGAGCTGCAACGGCAAGCAGCATGCCGAGCGGCGCTAGCTCCAGATTGCCCAAGGCGATGGCCGACTTGGACAAAGCCGACCGTCGCGGCCTGACGCCTCTGTATCTGGCCGCAGCCCGAGGCCACAATAAGGCAGCGGCGCACTTGGTCCGAGCAGGTGCGGACAAGGACAGGGCAGACCTCAGCGGCTTCACCCCGCTGCATGCCGCTGTGGGCCGTGGCCATGTCGAGATGGCACGCTTCCTCGTGAACGCAGGTGCAAACAAGGATGCTGTCAACTTGGCAGGCATCTCTCCCATGCTGGCCGCTGCCAAGAAGCTTGAGTCTTCTTCAGTATTTCTAGTATAGAGAGAGCCACAAACTCATGAAACTTCACCGTGCTTTTTGCCAAACACTGCCAAGAACAACGAAGGAAGGGTTTCCTGCGGATGGCGCGGCTCCTGATGGAAGCGCGCGCGGACGTGAATCAGGCGAACTCCAGCGGCATTACCCCATTGCAGGCGGCGGAGGACCGAGGGCACGCTGAAATCGTGGAACTCCTACTGAACGCCGGAGCCGACCCAACACACGTGAGCCAGGACCAGTGTTTGTTGGAAGGGCGCCCTGCGATACAGGGCCTGTGCCATGATCTGAATGGCGTGATGTGCCAGAAGCGCCCGAGGTATCATGCGCCGACCTAGGCAAAATCCCTGCAGAGGATCAAGTGTAGTCCCGTAGCACATCATGCTAATTCCTTTGACATGCAGTAGTGCCAGATCCTCTTTCTAGCCTACGGTAAGGTTTATTCGGGACTGCGGGTACCCTCACTGTCTAATCTGCACGTGGTCGTCGTCCGGTGTACCTGTAGACCGCATGTGACAGCTTTGATTTGTGCAGGCACTTCCCGCGGGCGCGAACGTCGCTGCATCTTTTCTTGCAGAAGGCTGGCGCGGCAGGGTCTTACTTGTTTTATAGCCGAAATTGCGTAGTGCCTGTGGTGGTCACTGGCCACAATTCTTCAGATCGGCGTCACTGTTTGTAGATGCCCTCCACCGTGTGAGTGACGTGACAGTTCTAGCTTGATCCTCTGGCCTGTTTTGGGGCGGTTTCCGAAAACAGGGGGAACCCTTTTTGGGGGTTCCAATAAAAGGGAGTATTTGGGGGTATATATGCGCCAGCATGGCCCCACCCCCCCTCCCCCCCCCTCCCCCTCCCTCCCCCCCCCCCTCCCCCCCCCTCCCCCCCCCCCCTCCCTCCCCCCCCCCTCTCCCTCCCCCCCCCCTCCCCCCCCCTCCCCCTCCCCCCCCCTGTGGTTCATGGTGGGTTTTGGGTCCCCGTGTGGTTCATGGTCCGTGGTTCATGGGTTTGTGGTTTAGGGGCTTAGGGTTAGGCTGTAGAGTTCAGGATTTTCACTCTGGTCCATTGGTTCATTGTGGGTTGAGAGTTTAATCAGGGTTCAAGGTTTGGGGTAATGGTGGTTTACGGTTTCCCCTCTCCCCCCTGTGGTTCGTGCTGAGTTTACGCTTCAGGGTTCAGGGTTAAAGTGGCTAAGGTGTCGGGTTTACCCTTCTCCCTCCTGTCGTTCATTGGTGGGTTTAGGTTTTAGGGCTTAGGGTTCAGGGTGTGGGGTTTAGGCTGAGGTTTCTCTGTCCTCCCCCGTGGTCCGTGGTGTTTTTAGGGTTAACAGGCAGGGTTTGGGGGGGGATGCCGCGGGGGGGGGGGGGGTTCGATTACGCGCGACGCATAAGGGGTACCCCTATTTTGGGAAATGCCCATTTCTGAGGCAGCTTTTGTGGTGCCCTTCTGCCAGCCTTGACGATCGACGCTCCGGAAGTGGAGGCATCGGCACAGTGTTTGAAAGTTGGCCACGAAATCTCGCTGAGATGCTGCAATACTGTACAGTACTTGTTTACTGTCAATGGGGATTGCGTGCTACCATCGGCCAAGCAGACATGTCAGTATTCCCCACAGATGCAACATGACATGAGTCTTTGGATCTAGCATTGTGGGTGTGCGTCGTAAACAGACCCTATACAATTGCGAAGCATTCGAACAAAGGTTTAAAAGAAGCAAGAGCAATGCAAGATATATTCGGGCCATCAGTCCTTCAGTAGCTTCCTGAAAAGTAGTAGCCTAGCAGTAGCTTAGGCTCTGACTGACAACCACTCGGATGCGTCATGACGGTCGTTTGTAGCTTAGGCTCAGCCTAAATCTTCATCTCGTAGCGCAAATGGGCGTTTCCGAAATTCGGGGTGCCCTACTGGGGTTCCTTGCACGTCCTTATTTTCAGGGGATCCTACTATTTGAAGTAACCCTAAACCCTAAACCCTAAACCGCCTAAACCCTAAACCCTAAACCCTAAACCCTTATTCTCGTAAACCCCCAAATCGTTCAGGCCTGGCTCCGCGAGGCCTTGTCTGGCGAGGCCAGCGCAGTGAGGAGCTGCCAGGGTTTAGGGTTTAGGGTTTAGGGTTTAGGGTTTAGGGATTAGGGTTTAGGGTTGGGGAGGTCCGGGTTCATCTCATCCGGTGGAATTTGTGCGTGAGGATCAGACCAGCCATCAAGGCTAGGAGGCCAACGGTACAGGATGTCTTAGGCTAGAAGTTGTTGGGTTCAGAGTTGGGATTTGGGGAATGTGAGGGTTTCGACATGCCAGTTCGGATCTATCGCGGGGGCTGGGATGCGTCTCGCTCGAAACTTCTAGGACCGGGAGTAGGCCCTTTTTTCCTTTTTTCAGGGTTGGGGTTCCCTTATAATCCCCTTAGACCAAAAAGGGTAGCCTATTTATTCCTGGGTTACTCCCGGGTCTAGACGTTCTGGGCCGAAAAAGAATGATCCATGGTGTTGGACATGCAACTGCGAAGCTTCCAAGCGGTCCAAGCTTGAAAGACCCATTTGGAGCCCGCTCACACCCTAAGCCCTAACCCTACACCCTACACCCTATACGCTACACCCTAAACCCTCAACCCTCAACCCTCAACCCTAAACCCTAACCCCTATACGGGGGGACAACCAAGGAAGGAAATCAACTCCCCTAATCGCCCTGAACTTATATTTCCTAGACCGAACCAAGAAACAACCAAGAACACGGATAAGAGCAACCCAGGGGGGAAGGAAAGGGGGAAGGAACCCACACCCTTACCAAACCCTAAGAACCCAGGCACTTCTTTTTGAACTTGTGGCTTTCTGTTCAAGCCCATCTTGAGCCAAATACGATTACCGGGTTCATTAACCCTTCCAACTTCCAACACTAACTCCTTTCTACAATACCAATTGCAGCTCCGCACTCCCCCTGTCCTAGGATTTCCTAGGACACATTGGAGATGCAGATCTTTTGGCCAAAAACTGCCATTACGGCAGCAGCCAGCTGCTTGAAATGCAAATTGTGGTTTAACGTCTTCCAGGACGGAATTATAGCACATTGGCTAACCTACTACCCATAGAGAATCTTTTTTCACCTTGATCCTCTCATCACTGAAGACTCCTTGGCCTTCTTCACCACAAACCGTGGTCTTCGCTACGCGAAAAGCTACTGACTCCTACTATCAGGGATTTCCATACCCTTAATAGTAACCGCCACATTGTCAGCACATTGGCTGTTCCAGCGCACCGGTCTCCAGAAAGAGAAAAACCATCCCTTCATCCATACCATCCAATCACTTCTTTTTCCGATTGTTGGCAATCTTGAGGTGAAGTTGCAGCAGAATATACTCCAGGTCCGAAATCGTAAGAATAGGATCCTGTATGCCCCTTTGAATTGAGGATACCAATCCTTCTCTCTTTGCGTCCTCAATCGCCTGGCAAGATTGACCCAGCTCTTCATTCGCATTGGCAGACCCTGGTGCCTCCGCATCGGATGGACGATCCTTTTCCTCAGGATCTTGCACCATTACCACCTCTTCTTTTTTGGGACTCTGACTTTTCTCCTTCTTCTTTGTCTTTCCACCGACATTTGACTTTGTGCGCGTCTTCGAGGATTTTTCCACTGCAGAAGCCACCACATTGGATGTTGATCCACCCTTCTCAATGATCGTCGGCATCTTCTTCGGCTTTGGAACCATGAGAGTGTAAGGATCTTCGATAGCTGCAGCTTTCCTCTTCTTTTTTACCTTTTTCTTCTCCTCCTCAACGGCAACCTCCGTCTCCGAAGTCTCAACCACTTCTTTTTCGGCAGGAATATCTTTGCTGGACTCCCCTTCTAGGGACCTCTTTTTCCCTTTTTTGGGATCCTTTTCTTCTCCCAAATTGGCTCGCTCATACCATATCCTCAGGTCATTGACCCATTCTTCCACCTCCGCGAGCGAAACATCGTACGACTTCACTACTTCGACAAGTTCCAGCACTGACAACATTTCAGTGGTCCACGAAACCCATACTTGATCCATTTGGTCAGCATCTCCAGTGAACTTCAGGAGTTTGAACAATGGGTCCGCCTCTGCTCGAGCCAAATCTGGCTTGCCACCGGAGAGAAATGAAATCGCCTCCATCAACAGTTCCGTCATCTTGGTCTCTTCGTCATAAACCATAAAATCCTCCTCATCATCATCGAACTGTTCAGGAGGGATCTCCTTTTCTCCACCATTTGCACCAGACTTTCTCCTTGGACCATCCCTTGGGGGCGTCCTTGGAGACCTTGGCCTCTGTTTTTCCAACGGAACACCATGCTCGAAGACACACCTGTCACCAAATCGACACTTCCCAGACCGAGCAAACTGGACGCACCTCACACCAGTTGCATCATGCGAGAACCCACAATCCTTTCCAGCGAAACATTCTCTCCCTGCCACATAGTATTTGCACCAATATGAATGTAGCACCACATCATCTTCGGAATGGATGAATTTGCAGTCGTCACCAAATTTGCAGCGATCTTTCCCTTTGCCAAACCAATAGCAGAAACCCTTCTTCCTCTTCTCCAAGCGCTCTGCCTCATACCGGTCCATAGGGCGACTGTGCTCTACATGAACATTGCCATGTACCTGGGGACTGCTCCCTTCACCCGACGTGCTATCAGTATTTGGTGCTTGGAGTACAGCTGGAAAACCTGGCCTTGGTCCTACCACCTTCATGATCGGTTTTCCGCCAACTCCTGAGCCATGCTGAGACGATCCAAAAACATTGAACATCTTCATGAAGGCCTTCCTAGCGCCAATCTTCTGCACCCTTTTGATTGGACGTTTCATTGCTCCAACCTTGCATCCAGATGCATTCAAACGACGCAACCTTCTAAACCCAACTCTATGTCCCTTCTTCCAAAGAGCCATAAGAATTTTAGAGGCAGTGACATTCTCCACCTCTACCTTTTCCAATGATCCCTCACTTCCCGGAACAAACCCATCCATCTCTGAAGACCTTTCCATCTTTTTTGACACCACTTCGTCGAGGTAGTCTTCTGAAATCCAGGGAAAGTTCCCCTTAGAGGAAGGATTGTCATCATTGTTTGGTCCTTCACCAGGATATCCTTTGGTGCTGTCAAAGATCTTACCAGTAGTGCGGTCCTGCATAGAGAAATTCGAAGCCACGCGGGAGTACACTGACCACAAGAAAATCCTTGTGTCCGCCAGTCTGGATGACCCACTGGATTTCTCCTCTTCCGGAGAAACTTCTGGCGCTTTGCCCTTCCCTCCAGTGTCACCGCTTGTCTCACCTCCAGCATCTTCAATGGGAATAAGGGATTCATTGTTCCCTTGATCAAGCACCGCATCCTCTAGTCCAAGAACTTCCAGCATCGCTGTCGAAGGATCCACCTCCTCATCCGCATCGTCGTCCATCCTTCTCCAGAGAGCCTCCAATTGGTCCGCACAAGTCGCCGCTTGAAGAAACTCCATCAACCGAGCCCTCCCGCGCTGCCAGAGAAATTCTGAAACCATCACCGACCCTTGTGCTCCCAGATTCAGGAATGGGTGAACCATTTTGGCTACCCTCGCCATAAGTTCAATATGAACTTCCATGCCTGGACTGCGGCTCCAATCATAGGCAATTGCCTCCATAGCAGTACCAAACTTGTCCGTATTCTTGAATTCCCCTTCCAGACCAGGAGACAACAAGGCACCCATCACCGAAAGAGGGTAATTCCCCACCGCCGGCAAGCACGGGTTGTCATGGAACGAATGATGCAGGTCAGTATAATATCCTTGATCTCTCCTTTGAAAAAGGAGTGTTCCAGTCCCTAGCTGGGCATTCATTTCATCCACTTGAACCATTTCAGCACATATCCTCTGTGCCAGGTGCGCCATTGCTGGCCAGACGGTACGATCGGTCAGACCGCGACGCATAACCCAATCAGTTGTTGGCGACTGGATCAGCGTTCCTGGATCATACACCATAACCATTGCACCGTCTCCCATTGACTGATCAGCATCGTCCTCCAGTGCCAGGTTCTCATCCTGTTCGCTTGCACCCTCGGATGACATGCTAATAACCAAATTTCGATCCATCTTATTGGACCCTTTTTGGCAATCTCTTTGCCCCATTGGCAACTTGCCAACTGCAACCTTCCAATAAATTCGAGTCAGAAGGCCTTTCACCAGCAATTGCTGAAGGTCACTCCTCACCGGACCACCATCCAACATCTTCGCATCATTACCACGGAGATCATTGCTCCCGCCTTCTCCTTCTTTTTGGTCGGTCTCCTCGCCAGAAATCTGTACTGCTCCTTCCGGCGCCGTCTCCTGTCCAGCCACTTCATGCCCAGGAAGAACTTGAGCGCTTTCAGAGACATTCACCTGTCCAGCAGCACCTTGCCCAGGTAAGGTAAAACCTCATCCGTGGTGCCCACCGCCAGCGAACCAACCATAACTGAACCATCCCTTGTTCTTTTTTGAGACCGTTCAGCTCGACGAGAAGGTTGTGGTAGCGAAAAAACTTGTGAAGTCACTTCTTGGCGGGTCTCCCCCCGCGACACTTTGTCGCGCCCTTCGCCAAGGTGAACCGATTTTTTCGGCCCATCATTGGAGCCTGAAGAACCACTTTGTGGAACATTGCCACGACTCGCAGTTCTCCACGAATCCCTTTCTTGCAAAAGAGTTCCTTCAGGCGTTGTACCGCATTGGTCTCCTCCTCGCTTGAATCGCTTGAGGAAGCGGCATACGAGACCAAAGCCTCCGCCTGGTCATCATCATCCACCACATCTGCCCACGCTCTGCTGAATGGATACGACAAACCACCACGAGGTTTCACCGGCTCCAGTGGCTTCGGTTTTTCCACTACTTCCGCCAGTTGCACTCGTCGTTGTGACCGAGATCGTGGCACCTGTCGCACCTGTTTTTTGTCCAGCAAGGGCCTTCCCCTTCTTACAGGGTTTGATCTTGACCGATATTTTTTCGTTGGTGGATTCACCGGCGGCATTCCAACTCCCACCAACCGCAGCTTCTGTACGCACAACGGAGACCTCTGCGCAAGCGTCCAACCATCACGGTACCTGACCTTATCAAAAAGCTCCCGATAGGAACCTCTCGGCATAGTTTTTGCACCGGAGTCTTCAGCTTCACGCACCTGAGTGAGGGTTCGCACCGCCGCTCTTCCAGTCCCTTTGTTCCCAGAAGATTGTTGTACCCGTACAGATGCATCAGAAGGAACTGCCTTTTCCGGTCCTCCCGGTCGATATCGGACCTCACCCACCAATTGCAGAATTTTGCATGCGGTCACTTTGTTTCCCTTTGTCAACCAAATCTTCCGCAAAGATGAACTCTTGCAAGTCCGACACATTGGTCACACCAAGCGTAATCATCACCTCACTTACATGAGGGGTATACACCCACAGGTGTGCGTTGCGAGCCATCCAATTTTCAATCGGCTCCTCCGGATTGTGAAGCTGAGTACTAGTGGATGCAGCCACCGAATTCTTTTGCTCATCAGCTTCTACTTCATCCAGAATACCTTTTTCACCATCTTTTTGTGACACATTGGTCATTTGCAGCGCTTTTGGTGCCGAGGATGAGGAAGATTCAGCTCCCCCACTCGCAGGTGGCTGAAAAGTGCTTCTATCCGTAAGCTCCCATCCTCTCTCTTTTTCAAACCGGACCTGATTGGCCACCTGTACCAAGTGTTTCAGGAGCGACAGCCGCTCCTCTGACATCTCGTCATGGGAGTACTTGCAGAAATTTAACCCTTTCCGGCAACGTCCTCTGAGGTAATAACCGAAACAGCAATGGTGGAACCCTGCGTCCCTTAGTGACTTCCTGGAAGCATTGTCCCAAGCTTTGCCGGGCTCCCAAGTCCCTTCCAATGCTACATCATCGTTGTGAAGGTACCTGCATGCAGTCCCATATGTACAACCACCTTGATTGTAATACAGACACAGCCGACCTTTTGGCTCACCCGACGTAGGCTCACCCTTTGATGCACCTTTGCCAAAATTGTACTTGGCCCGGAAGGCTAAATCCTCCTGCTCCTGCTGTGCCTCATCCACTGTACCTTCCTCTGTGGGAGGGTCACCGATGTTCCCGTCCTCATCATCAGCTTCTTGGCTATTCTTTGGATCAGTTGACCCCCCTTCTGGCCAACCTTCACCGTACCGACGATGCTCATAGGGACACCCATCGCCATTGCGACACCTTCCCTTATTGAAGAACCTGCACAGCTTGCTGTAACCAGGTGACAACACCGTCTTTGGTGTCATGTAAGCCTTTTTGTACTGGTCAGGATCCATGTAGGCTTCCATTGGCTTGTTCTCCCTTTTGCTCATGGATTGCACTGCACCATCAAGCTCCTGCAAAAATAGCTTGGTGTCCAACCAAAGCGCGTTCCAAAACTCATCTTCCCCTTGATTCAGCACCGTTGCCACCGCTTCACCCACAACTGGTCGAGAAAATCTCCTTTTTCTGCATGCCAGTTCGAAAAGCGCGTTGTGGTACTGTTTTCGGGAAAAAGTGGTTAACTTCCCCAAGCCTGTGCTTTCTGTACCATCAGGCTTCCAACCATCATTTTGCAAGATGCCATACGCGCGCCGAGCTTCCGCATTGAGGAATGCCTGATCCGCAACACACTCCTGTAAATCTTCCATCGGCCGACCTAACAGCATCCCAGTAATTTTGCCAACATAGGCTTCCTCTTCATTTCCATTCTCCAGAAGAGCTTTGTAGATCTTTTCTCCATAAAGTTGCCTTTCTTTTCGTTCTTCAGAAGACAACTCCTGTACCACAAGCTCTTCATCGGATTGCTCTTCCTCCTGTTTCCAGTCCCATTGACCGTTGGAATCTTGGTACCATTGACCAGCATACCATGAATCCGTCCACCACGTACTCCAGCCGCTGGGTTTCCACTTCCGCAGCGTCGAAGAAGAGTCCTCCGCGCCCTCTTCCAAAACCAGAAAGGTGTCCAAGATTATGGTACCATCATCTTCCACTCGTTTCACTGTTCCATTGACAGTATCACCAAACTTGAACTGATATGCATTGTTCCCTTCTGCAGGAATCAATACATTCATATCCCCATGGTCCAAAAAGGCTCCATACCCATTGATGCAGCGCACTAGACCCATGATCTCATCTCCCTCTTGATAGCAATGTGGCCCAGGTGACTCCAAGGCTCCCGCTCGGGGCACTTTCTTTACACGCTCTTCAGAAACCATCTCTGTATCATCGGCTCCTGGCGCATCCTTTGTCTTCACCTTTGGGTCACACTGCTCGTCCTGCTCCACGAGTCCCACAAGCTCATCTTTTTTGTGCTCCTGGATTTCAGGACCTCCCTTTTTCTCCGCCAACGGCTTTGCCTCATCTGCTGTAGTTCGCTCGGTGTCGACTTCCGGTGAACTTCCAGACGGCAACGCTTCTCCCTTCATGGGAGTGGACCCATCATTGGAGTCCTTTGTCTCACCTTCTGCAGCAGGCAAATCTTCTTCCACTGCAGGGCAATTGAGTCGATCATCCACGGCAGGCACGCTTTCTTCCACCGCAGGCTCCTTTGGTTCCATGGCCTCCAAAGGAGAATTTCCACCATCATTGACCACAGCTGCCTCATTGGCTCCGGTGTAGCCCTTGTCATTTCGTTCCTCGCTGCTAACTTCAGGTTGCACCAGTGCGTCCACCTGTGAACCTCCATCATCAGCTGCTGCGGAGACCTGCGCCCCATTGTTGCAGTCGCCCGTGGAACGTACCACCACATGCACCTCAACCCGTGCTTCCTTCGCACTCCAGGTAATATCTGGCGCATCAACCCGCGCATCATTGGCGCTCCAGGCCTCATTTTTCAGATCATCCGTGTCTCCAGCTATTCCAGAAGCTTCTTTTTCCCTTTGAATGGCAGAATTCTTGGCACCAAACGAAGAGACCTCCTCAGTCGTAACACACAACTTTTTCTCTCCATCCTCCGAATCTCCAGGACCACCTTCCTGAACAACAGGTACCACATCCACCACTCGCTCTTCTGCAGCCGACACAGTTCCGATCACCTCATTGGGCATTTTCTCTTCTGGATCCACCAATTCCATCGCTGCCCCACCCTCAGAAAGCGCTTCTGTTTCTTCCCGATCCAGGTGTTGAGCTCCAGCGATGTTGGCTTGGTTCCCAGGAATCCCTTCCTCATCAGGAGAACCCGAGGTCGGGGCGTCACCATCAGCCCTAGGACCGCTATCCCTGATAGTAGAGGAAAAATCTTGAATGCCCTCGTAGACTCAGTCTTCGGAGTAGAGGATGAAGAATCCAGTGCCGCCTCCATTTCCAGCTCATTGCCCAAAGGAGACCCAACCACCTCGTCACTCTTCACCTTTTCACCTACCACCGGCAATGTCCACTTGGTTTCGTGCGTATCCAGGCAGTAATAATATTGTCTCCCATCTTCATGGAGGTGCAATTCCCACATTGTGCCATCACACGCTTGGATCAGATGCTCGTCTTTCCGAAAACCGTCCCTTTCAGAAACCTGTCGCATCTCGTCCTCTTCTTCTGACAGCTGTCGCAACCGTTCAGCCTCCATCTGTAGGATCTCCTCCTCCCCCATGGCGTATTCAGCAGCAGGTGCAGCTTCAAAGCCGTCCGCACCCTTCTGTTTGTGACCGCTTCCACCACCTTGGGAACTCGAAGATGGACCCTTTTTGATCTTGTTCAACGGCCTCCTGGTCGCTTGTAGCACTTCTCCAATCAGATCGGTCTGAGACTCTTGGTCTACCATTCGACCCGAAGTCGAAGACGACGGCTGGTACCCGTGTTTGTGTAACACTCGTAAAACAGTCACCTCCATTTCACGATCTATGCCACCAGTCGCATCCCAGTTCCTTTTTTCACCAGGCTTTGGCGGTACAGAAACAGCACGTCCTTCAGCTTCAGCATTGCTAACCATATCCCTATTGGGATTCATACCCACATTGGGGCTTTCTGCAACCAAGGCCTCTTCCAGATGTTCTTCAGCGTCGGGAATCACCTCTTCCAACACCGCTCTTTCACCCAGAGACTCAGCTGCACCATTTCCAGCTCCACCATCTTGTCCACCATCCGAGGCAAGTTGGAGCCATCGCTTCGGAGAAGGCATTGCTTCTTGATCCCAAAACCTTGAAAGAACACTTAACCGCAGGGAACCTAATTTGGGCTCATAACCTACGGGGGGACAACCAAGGAAGGAAATCAACTCCCCTAATCGCCCTGAACTTATATTTCCTAGACCGAACCAAGAAACAACCAAGAACACGGATAAGAGCAACCCAGGGGGGAAGGAAAGGGGGAAGGAACCCACACCCTTACCAAACCCTAAGAACCCAGGCACTTCTTTTTGAACTTGTGGCTTTCTGTTCAAGCCCATCTTGAGCCAAATACGATTACCGGGTTCATTAACCCTTCCAACTTCCAACACTAACTCCTTTCTACAATACCAATTGCAGCTCCGCACCCTAAACCCCTTAAGTCCCTGCTCCCGCCAGGCCATGGATGCAGTGGCGTCACTGCTCAGTGCGGAGAGGCTAAGGCGGCCAAGGCTCCGGGCTTTGGGAAGACAGACGTACTTAGGGTTTAGGGTTTAGGGTTTAGAGTTTAGGGTACTCCCTTCTGGTCCCTTTATAACTATACTTTAATAACCTCCAAAACCTTATTCTAATTATTCAGGCCTTGTGGCTAAGGACAACAAGAACCGGGGGGGGGGGGGGGGGGGGGGGGGGGCCTGGTGGTTGAGAAGGTTTCAATGTGTTGGGCGCCAATATTCGTTAAGGGCGTTCGGCAGTTGAGCATTGCAAAGTTGGATATCGGGTTTGCAGGTCGAAGGAGAAGTGGGTGTCGCTGCTGTGCAGTGCCTTATCTCGAACGGCTGACGGAGAATGTGGCAAAATGTGGCGAAACCAAATCCAGATTAAACCCCAGCATGACCTGCATGAAGCCATTTATGGCAGCCACGACCTCAAACAGTAATCAGCACGTACTCTTTCACTTTTCAAAAACACAAACATACATACCTACCTACCTACATACACACATACATACATACAGACACAGACGTACTGTATGTGTACATTAAATATAATATTTATATATACAAATATATGTAAATTTGCATTGCTACCCCTCATGTACCCTACGTTTTGCTTTATTGCATGAATTGGACAAAGCGAATCAAGAACTGTTTCCAGAAGCCTTAAGCTCAGAATTCCAAAGTTGAAGTTTCAAAGTTCACAACAATTGCGGGCCCAAGAGCTTCAAGTATCCAAAATGCAATTTTCCCAATTTCCAAAAGCCTGAGACACCCAAAATTCAGAAATTACAAATCTCCTACCTAATTTTTGACCGTTTGGAATTTCGAAGTGCAGGAAGCCAGCCGATAAATATAAGCTCACAAATTGGAAATGGTGGCGGTATGCCCAAGTGTGCGTACACTACTTGGGAATGAGACCTTTATTTACGTCCAGTACCTCGAAACATACATAGTCCAAAGAAAGCTTACATTTGAAACCCGACTAAGAACATGAGAACGTCTACTGAGTATCTGAGAATTACATGTAACCGATAAGTGATACATATATATATATATGAATATATGTATATACATACACATAATTCATATATATATATATATTTTATTTATTTATTTATTTATTTTGAGAGGCGGGGGGTGCTCCAAGCAGGTCCACACGACGGGTCAGCAAGGCTTGGTCTCTGCAGGAGAGCGCAGCGTGTGGACCTCGCAGCATGAAGGTTGAGGTCTACAGTTTGGGATGTTCCCCCCTTATTCTAGCAGCCCTTAGTGGGGATTTTAGTGGGGGGTACTATAATCCCTATTAAGGACTGTTAGTTAGTAGGGGGAGCATCCCAAGTTTCAGTGCATGTTGGCACCTGAAGCGTGCAGGGCGTGGTCTCGTCCCTTCTCAGGTCATCCCGGCGCTCCTCAAAGCTCTCACAGCTACCGGAGTCCCCGGAGTTGCAGGGGCCCCTGAGGTCAGAGGGGGTGTAGGGTTCAGGGTTTAGCGTTTAGGGTTTAGGGTTTAGGGTTAACTTTGCAACTGTGCTTGAAGTGGGAGGGGTTGAGAAGTTAATACATGCTGGACATATTTGGACGCATTTGAGGCCTCCTCGAATAAGCATCGCCACCTTCATCGGTGAGCCCGAGCCTTAGCGCTCGCAGCTGGAGACTTGTGGTGCCAGAAGTTCTGTCACTGAAGACAAGGCACACTTTCTCTCTCTGCAAAGCGTCACCTTCCGGAGAGCGCGCTGCTGCGTGCAGTAAGGGACGGCATAGATGCTTCAACGCCCGTCTTTTCTCTCCCCCCCACAGTTGCGCAGTGTCTGCTTCGTGACGCGTCAAGAGCCCCTCCATATGTGTATGTGAGCCCACCCAAAAACAAAGGGTCAATTCAAGCTGCAGGAGAGAGCACCCGTCATTGACACCTTTGGATTCCCTAATTGAATCTCCGGCGCGCTTTCGCGTGCTTTCCTGGCTGCCATGTTCCCATACCGCAAGGGCAGTGCCGGAGCTGCCAACTTCACCAAAGGCACGAGAGCTGGCGCAGTAAGGGCCACGATGATCACAGTATGCGGGTGTAGCACTTTAATCTTGAGCTGGTCTGCGGCTTCTCGACGTCTTGATGCTCATACTGATGAGGTCATAACCGTATGCATGGATCACGTGACCTTTCAGTGGTGTTGTTGCAGATCTTTGCGGTTGCAATTCCACAGGGGTGTTATGCAGAGCTCGCAGAATTCTTTTGCTTGACAGTCACATCCCAGTGTCTTCCGACCTTGAATCCGTATTTTTACCATGGGATCCGGGTTTTCAATGCTATGATTGTGCCCCGATTCGGATATTCTTCATCTGCAGGGTGAGCCTTGGTTGTCAGAACTGAAGGCAATGTTGTACCAAGGGTAGCAGACTAAAGTTGCTTCGCGCTTTGACACCCCGCAAATTCCTCTTGAAACGGCCATCTCGGATCCGAGCTGCTTTTGAGAACTTAATCCCAAGATAAGCCCAGAATCTCCACAGGCGGCTGCGACCGCCGCCGAGTCGCTGCCTAGCCGGCGAGAAGTGGTGCCCCGGCCGCATTTTCTGAGCCCCAAATGTGTTGAAATTTACACTTGTGGTGATTCCGTGTTCAAGGTTGCATGAGCGTTGCTCTGGAGGTGTTGTATTTGGCATTATAGGGATTCCCTGAATTAGCTTGTTGGGCTGTCTGCAGCATGCAGGGGAACGGGGAGGGGGGGGGGACGCTGGGGTGAAGCCCTTAGCCGCTTAGCCCTTTGCCTCGACATGGTTGGGCCCAGGCAGCAGACTTGCAAAATCGGCTACCCTTCTGATGCGTCCGAGCACGTCTGGGCGTGCCTGAAATCTAGGGGCATGGCCAAAGGCTACCAATCCCAAATGCGGAGAAGCAGAGGCACTTCCGAAGTTAGCCCTTTTTGTCCCCAGCTGGTCGTCCTAAATCGCACATTTACAAACTCCGATAGAGAAGACGGCCGCAGAAGATCCAAGGCTGAATTGAAATATCCAGTTGCTGCCACCCCCCTTGTGCCACCCAGGAATTGGCTGATCAGTCTGATTCGCCCGTGCCTTAAATTGGACCGCGCGGCCTGGCACAGCTAGCTGCTGGTGACTTGCGTCGTGGATTTGAGGGTCCTTGCTTGCGTCTTGCGTTTAACCAAGAAGAGCACGCTACTTCGGCTAGCAGTGGCCGTTGTGATCGAAACCATGGAAATGCTGTCAGAGTCAGCCAATGTGTGCTGGAACGTCTCCAAATCTGCAAGGCCTGGCCAGGTCAAGGCGCGGGGCGGGCTTGGTGGGTTTGCAGCTGCTCTTTACTGCTTTGCACCCAACTTTTCCTTCATCCCAGTTCATCCCAATGCGCTGCAGTACCCGTGTGCTCCACCCACCTCCATGCCATGCTCACGAGGGGAGGGCAGCAGGCAGTATGTCACATGGCAGCGAGCATAGCAGCTTATACAGCAATCGCCCCGCACAATGCAAAGATAACAGTGTTTTTTCCACCCGCTGCTCTCCACTTCCGGATGATCTGAGAGGCAGGTTCCAGCAATGTCTAGTACATGCCCCATCTCAAGTGTCACTCCTTTATTGTGCGTGCAGCCTGGGCAGGATAAACGCGACAATGCCGACAGCCGGATCTCAGGTGCTTGAAGCAGATTCTTGCTGTTGGATGAGGTTTTTGGATCATGTGACTAATGATAAATGCGGAGATGGTCTGCGAGCCGATGCAAAGCGAAGCCACTCGATGAGTGATGCTAGCCTTCCGCCAAGCATACTTGAAAGGCACAGTAGTTGAGCCATTGTGCTTGGCTTCTCAGGATCGCCGGCCATGAGCTCAAAGACTCCAAGCCATAACAAGAAGACACCTAAACCCTAAACCCTAAACCCTAAACCCTAAACCCTAGACCCTAAACCCTAAACCCTAAACCCTACACCCTAAACCCTAAACCCTAAACCCCACCTCAAGCCCAGCTCGCCAGGACGGCCGGCGGTCGACGTGGGAACTGTGGCTGATGCCCTGGTCCGGAGCTTCAGGATACGAAGGGCGAAGCCTTGTACTCACTTGTACTATGATGTTGGGTGTGCCATGTGGTCCCTCTGGGCTGTCTTTTTAAGTCAGGATATTCCACCTAATTTGCTGGGATCACAAATCAACCCTCCAGTTGGCCCGCAACTTCGGAATCCGAGACCTGCGAGTGCTATCGCTGGCCCCAAATCTCACTCCACGCCTTGAGACCGCAAAAGCATTTGCTAAGCCCTTGGCAAACCCCAAGCAGCCCACAAGATCTTGCAACTGTATAAGCAGCAGGTTTGGAAACTGTAAACCCTTAACCTTCAACCCTAAACCCTAAACCCTAAACCCTGAACCCTGAACCCTGAACTAAACCCTAAACCCCGCACACCAAACTGTCAAAAAACGCTCTGACGGAGAGGTCCGGAGCCTGGTTGCCGCGACCGAGGCCGCGCCGCAGCCGCCCCGGCGAACGGAAGCAAGAAAAACGCTTGACGGGCTGGTTCTTAGTAGGGAATGAGGGGAACTAGGGAACCCTATACAATCCCTTAAAGAATGAGGGGAATTCGGGAACCCTATGTAATCCCTTAAAGGGGATGTATGATATGTTCTTAGTAGGGAATGAGGGGAACTAGGGGACCCTATACAATCCCTTAAAGAATGAGGGGAATTCGGGAACCCTATATAATCCCTTAAAAGGGATATGTGATATGCTCTTAGTGGGGAATGAGGGGAATTAGGGAACCCTATCTAATCCCTTGTAAAGGGCTTATGTTAGGGCCCTCATTTACTCATTCACTTTTTTTAAGAGCCAGGGGGTCGAGGGACTTTGAGGGCCCGGTGTCTTGTGTTGCTTTGTGCCGCCTTTCCTTGGGCGATCCCAGCACCCAAACCAGTGAAACCGGTAGCAAAGAGCCCCCCCCCATCCCCCCAAGAACCGCATCTTACGAGTAGGCAAGCCGCAGCATCCCTTGGGTAGGGACGAAAAAGCAATCTGGGGTTTCAGTCGGACTGTAACCTCCATGACCTTGAGCTTTCGTAAGCCAGATGCGGAGCAACTCCGATTCTAGGCCCTCGCTGTGCCGTGTGGCTGCGGCACTCGAGGCGTGCCTTGCAGAGCGCAGCAAGGACACCCACAGTGCTGCCACTTAGGATATCTGCACGATGTACCGTACCAGTTGCTGAGCCGAACGCTGCCGCAGTGTGAAAGCTAACCGACCTTCAGCCTTCAGCTTGTGCCAAACTGTGTGGCTGTACCGTGCCCGCCCAGCCAGCAACTGTGGAATGCATGACCCCTCAACATCCCCGACTCGATTGCTCCCGGGCTGCAGGATGTCCTTGGAGTGCTGCTGATATCAAACTGGCTGGCCGCAAGCACAGTGCAGCAGATTTCGCTAAGAGTTTCTGCCAGTGCCAGTGCCAGCCATGCCAGGAGCCGACCCTTGTCTCACTTGAAGCACAGGACGGTAGTCAGAGTGAGGCTCAGCATCTGGACTCCCAAGGCGCCAGCTTTGCTTACACCGAGCTTGGGCCTAGGTGGCGGACTGAGGGGAACCGGGCCCTTAACATCCTGCAGGGCATGTGACATGTACGCCTGGGCTGATACAGGTCACGGTCAAGGAGTCTACAGGGCCTTCACGCTTGGTGCTGTAGAGATGCATGGGGTGCAGGTCGCTGGCGCTGCAAGCATGATGTCAGGGCGACCTCGACCGCCAGTAGCACCACGTAGTACCTCCTTTCGAAGGAGGGCCATGTCTAGGGATTCTCTCGGCCTTCATGCAGATAGGAAAGCAAAAGGAACTTGTGAGTGCCGCCAATTCGCAGGCCTTGGGCTCGCGAATGCTACGCTGCCTTTGTTGAATGTTCAGAGCTTAGATCAGATCATCTGCCGGCCTGCACAGCCAATAAACTTCCAGGAAGCCTCTTGCAAACTGCAGCCTGTCCACTTGTGGGGTGATCGGATAGTATTGAGGCCAATGAGAACGGTGCGCGGGCGCTGCTTATCAGCCTGGCAAAGTGAGAGCCCAGGAAGGTTCCAGGTCTTCGAGCATTTGGAGTTGGTATGGTGTCTTAGGTTGTAGTTGGTTGTAGTTGGTTGGAGGATGATACAGCCAGTGTGTGCGTTACGCTGTTCCTCCGCGACCAGGCCAGACGGCTACAAGCATGCCTGAAAAGATTTGCTGCGTTCTGCATGGACAAGTTGAGACAAATTGAGGGGTTTAAACGGTGAAGACACTGAGTAGGCCTTGCTCTCCTGGATTTGGGCCTCTCGCAGTCGCGAAACTTATTTGGACCAGCTACAGTACCACTTCCCAGCCTTGGTCGTCCGCATCACTGCACGCGCGTCCCTGCAGATCTCCACATGTGCGTGTACAAGAGTCGTAGGGGGGTCTGCGTGTGCGGCGTTTGGGACGCATCGGGCATAGGGGCTGTTGAAGTTATCATGTCAACACCCAGCATAGATGGGGACAGTACGGGACAGTGGAATGCCGAGGAGGCATCAGGCACACTGCAGTTCTGTTGCTGATGAGCAGTCTCCCTAAACCCTAAACCCTACATGCTGATGAGCAGTCTCCCTAAACCCTAAACCCTAAACCCTAAACCCTACACCCTAAACCCTAAACCCTCAGGCTCCTTAAAGCAGCGGCTCAGCCTTCACTTTCTGCAGATGCCGAAGGCCAGCCATGGCATGAGGTTTCTGGGGAGATGCAGGACACGCCGGTTCCGGTCCCATGGTCTTAAGATTTCTGAAGTTACACAAGTGATTCATGCTATACATGGCACACCTGAAGGATTCATGCTATACATGGCACACCTGAAGGTGATGCCCATTCGCGGGCACAGCTGCTGCGCGAGGATTTGCCTTCATCTCAGATCCCGCACGCTTCAGGAACCTCAAGCAATCCTCGATTCTACTCCTAGGTGTGGCGGCCATGTGAACACAGTCTTGCAAACATACGCGCAAAAGAGCATCCACCCAAATCATTGGAACGCCGAACTTTCAACCTCCTGAGGCAACTCGAATATGCGCATCAGGCTTACAAAAAACACCCCTCAGACCCCGCACACATCCGCGAGCCCTGCCAACCGCGAGTCTGACAAGCCCCGGAAGACCCCAGCCTTTGCCATCTTTTCAGTCTTAATCCCCCAAATGGCTCCTCCAAATGGCTCAGTCCTCAATTTTTGCATTCCCGAGCCTTAGCAACTCCGCGCCAGGTTCGAGCCCCTCATCCGTAGGGGCCGACGCCTTTTGGAGGAGGCCCAGCCAAACAGCGAGGTGCGCAAACTCTCCTGCAAGAGAAGTCTGGGTTACATACCGGGCTCAAAGGTTCCGGAGTATGGCTTGAGGCGGTTCCTACCCCCTTATGAACCCCCCTTGAAAAGACCCTCGAAATTCTCCCCTTAAAGCCACTGTCAGGTTGAGCTGCCCTGCTGCTGCGGCCCTGGGATGTGGGGTGGTTCTGCACAGGAGCAGTGAGCACCCCCAACAAGTCCTTTCGTGCGTCGTAGTCTGTGCACCGGACTCCAACTGGGAGTTAAGTTGGGGTTATGTTGAAAGAAGGCTTCGTGTTATTTATTTGCAGGTGACGCAGCGGTGTAACATCACGTGCGGGATGCACGGCGCTTGTCATGCCTATAATACATCGAGTGTGTTGGGTGGCCTTTCTCATCTATCCATTTGCCGCTTCAAGCTTTTCCGAACACTAGCGCATGAGACCTGGACCTGGAGCAGACTCCATTCAATCCTTGAGTTCCCAGGTGTTGTTTGCCGCACGGCAGACATTATCACCTTGGGGTGCAGCAGGGGACCTCAGGGGACCTGTTGCTCGAGGAGCGAAAGGGATCTGGGATGATTTGGGTGCAGGTGACAATGCCTCTCTACAGGAGGTCAATAGAGCAAGCAATAGAGCACGGACCGAGCTTGAACTCTTGCAAAGCTGAGCTGCTTGCTTGAGTGTTTCACTGCAGCTGTCTCTGAACCAGCCAAGCCAGTACAAGTAGCAATGAACTTGTAATAAAGCTCTGACTCTGAGACGCATGTACATCAACGATTCTCCCAATGGCGCCTCTTTGTGCCGAGACGCAAGCGAATGACCTGGGTGCTGTAGGCCCCCCAAGCCGAACATATAGCAAGTTGCAGCATTCAAAGGGTCAAAGCTGAAGAGCTGCGGGTGTGGCAGTGCCGGTATTTGCAGTCCCCGGGCAAGCTACCTTGCAGATCACCCGAGGCTTGGCAGCTGCTGCGGACGCGGCCGCTGAGGCTTGCATGCTCTTAGAAGCCATTCGCTGCATAATGCCATCTGACCAGCAGCTGTGTTTCAACATAGACGTACGTAGAACCAGCAAACAAGGTTGTGACATGTTGATGCTTCGAACCGCCCCGCACAGCAAAAGATGGCCCAAAGTGGTGTCAAGTGCTCTCTTCAAAGCAAGACCCTCTTACCCAAACCCTGAGCCCTAAACCTTGAGAAATCAGGTGTTGCAGGTGGATGTGGACCTCATCGCGGCTCTGGGGAGAAGGCAGCTTAACTTCACATGATTTCAGCTACATAAGATACTGCTTTCCGCTACGAAGAGAGACCCACATGCAAGCTTCCATTCGGCGCTGCCCATTACTGCGTGTGCAGGTGTACAACAGGTTGAACGCTTCTTGATGTCGCTGTGGGGGATACAATATGCTACGCGTACTTATCATAGTCCCACTGCTGAAGAAAGCTGCAAAGCGCCTACAACCCTGCTGACTCAAGCCGGAGAATCGTTAAACCTGAAGGCCCCCCAAGCACCAAGTCACCTTAAGCGCATATTTAAGTGTTCCTATGCTCCCAATAAAGCCCTAAACCCTAAACCCTAAACCATCCTAAACCCTAAACCCTAAACCCTAAACCCTAAACCCTAAACCCTAAACCCTAAACCCTAAACCCTAAACCCTAAACCCTTCCTGAGAGCTCCAGGCCGACCTCGGGTTCGGCAAGCCCAGGGACCACAGCCCGCCGAGCATGTCGTTGTTAAGAGCAGAGGGGGTAAGAGGGGGTAAGGGATACTTTTGGGGACAGCGGGAGAAGAAGGCTCGTCCGCTTTACGAACCTTTTGTTTTTTTTTTGGGGGGGGGGTCTCTTGTTAACAGGAAAACTCGTGTAGTTAGGCTTGAGCTCAGTCTCTGCTTGAACAGGGGAATCGGCCCAACCCCTCAGAGTGGGAAAAGGGGGGGGGGTTCACTGGTAAATGGTTCACAGGACGAGAAAGGGCGCGGGGTCAGCATTGTTTTTTTTTAAATGGGGGGGGGCGGGGGCGGCAGTTTCCGCGGAATGCTGTTGTAGGATTTGCCCCCTGGTAGCATGTCCTTCGGAACGCGAGACCGGACTATGAAGGTCCATGGGTTCCATGGTCACTGGAGGATTCATGCCACACGTGTGCTGTGCCCGAAGCCAAGCTCTACCGAAGTGTGTGTGAGTTTGGGGTTGAAACGATGAATTTGGGTGGCCGGTTCTGCGGGGAGTAGCTCGGCTGCACACTTCCGTCCATCTCGGATCGGATCCCGGGCATCCCGGGGGGCACAGTAGCTCGACCGCGTGACATGCAGGGCAGCATCGGACACTCTTGTGAACCTACTGGCCATTGCGAACCTGCTCCTGCACACCAGCAAGTACTGCTTGAGCAAGCAGGGATTAAGCTCAAAGTGAGAACCTGGTTGAATAGCTGCTTACAGTCGGCCTTGATGTCCCCTAGAATCTAGGCACGCTTTCGTTGTCCCCGGGTTGCCTCTCAAGTTTTGCTAGATTCCGTCCACTGAGCTTCCAATGCCTCCACTAAGTCTAACTGTTTTCAGTGCGCCGAGGAGCACGCGCAGCTTTGCCGTGCTTGTTCACGCCCAACAAGTACCTAAACATGATGTCTTAATTACCCAACACCAAACCCCACACTAATGTGCTCTAAGGCCCCAATACTGAACCTCACGCCCCCGAATCGCTGCCCAAGCCAGGTGCTGTGGCTCCGCCGAGGGAAGCTATCCCGCCCGAAAAGGCCGCCGCGACAGCCGCAGGAGGTCAGAGGGGGGAATGGCAGGTGAGGGAGTCGCAAGCGTCTTAATTTTCTCTGGAGTGAGAGGTTGGGATGTTCCCCTCATAGGGATTCTAATGAGAATTGGGGGGGGGGGGGGGTACTCTATAATTAATCCCTATTCAGGACTGTTAGTACATCCCAAGTGAGAGGTCAAGTTCGGGGTGTGGGGAGCAGGGATAGCCGGTTTCGGCTTTTTTTCTCTTCGTCTGGCTACCTTGGCTTGGCTTGTTCATGAGTGTCAGGTCTTCAGGGTGTCAGAGCTCTTCAGATTCAGGTGTAGAGTTCTTTCAGAATCCTTGAAACAACGAATTCCCAGGCAATCGGGTAGCTTCATAAAACGTCAACATGAGCGAGTGGACGATGGAAGCCGCCATCCTGGGCGAGCTTCTCTGTTCCGAACTGCCGGCATGACATCGCGAACCGTGAGCCATCGTGAGACTCGAGGCCTTATCATGTAAACAAGCTCATGCCTCAAGGAACCTTAAGAACATCACAATATAGCCTGTAAGGCCGAAGAATGATGCCTCAAGGAACCTGAACAACATCCTTTACAATCTATCCCTAAACCCTAAACCCTAAACCCTAAACCCTAAACCCTAAACTCTAAACCCTAAACCCTAAACCCTAAACCCTAAACCATCCTTCACAGTGTAGCCCGAAGACTGCCAAGACCTTGCAGGCAGAGGACCGCGCTCGGTTTGAGAGCTTCGAGGGCTCCCTCAGCCGGCCTCGGCAGCCCAGGGGCCGGGGGCCCATGGCTTTTAGGGTTTAGGGTTTAGGGTTTAGGGTTTGGGGTTTGGGGTTTGGGGTTTGGGGTTTAGGGTTTAGGGTTTAGGGTTTAAGGTGGCGGGCAGCCTGGATCGTTCCGATCTCCTGAAAGCTTTGGGGGCATGGTCAAGCTTTCGAGCCCCGGAAGCTAGTTCCATCCAGTTCTTGCGCAAGGTCTTGTTTGCTGTAGACTTTGTTTTCTGATCTGTTCCGGGCCCCCTTTCGTCTCCAACCGATTCCGAGCGCCTGTTTCTGAGGCGAAGAGCAACGGCAGAGTGCGCTGCTCTTGCTTCGGCAGTGGCCCTGCCACGCTTTCGGGGCTTGCGGGTTTGCTTGCTGTAGGGTGCAGGATGCAGTCTCATCTGCTCCAGTCGTGGTGTCAGCAGTCCTGCTGATGTAAAGAGGTTTCAGTCTAAAGAAGGCAACTGCACAGTGCTGACCATGAAATCTCGGAGGAGGCCTGCTGATAAAGCACTTGAAACGATAAGCTTCTCTGAGCCCTCGAACTTGGCCGAAACCGCTTTCCGCCTGCCTTGCTGGGCCAGGTTGCTGTCGGAGCCGAAAACTCTTTGCGGTGCGCCACGCAGAAGATTCTGTCGGAGCAGTGCAGGATAAATTCGAGGTCCATGCTCTTAAGCTCTTAAACATATGCAGCCTGTGGATTGCACTCAGGGCTTTGAGCTGTCTGTGGATGAGCATTGAACTTCATGGATGTACTTGCGAAAATCCTGCGATGTGCGCTTGCCACGGCTGGAAGTTAACAAGTGATAGCAGACACTTCTCAACCTGTAGAGACTGCCACGCACACTTGCAGTCGGCTGAGAGCTCGAGGCACCATGGCTGGCACCAGCCACGGGCCAAGAAGTCCCATGTTGCGGCTGTGACAGCCTGTGCGAACCCTGCTGTCTTATGTTGCCTCATGTTGGTGGACTTGTGCTACGAAACATACCCAAACCTTCATAACGCGTCATGCATGCAACATGTCTATATTGTCCAGGCATGTTCGTCCCATTTACAGTTGAATCAGTATTTCTAGGCTACATGTACGTGGAATTCCGGCGCGCTCAGGACGTCTCACCAGATGTCACACTATAAGGCTTCATGACATACCACGTGTCACGCAAGCCTACTCAACTTGCGTTGGCCACGTGAAGAGAAGTCGGAAGAAGCGTGCCCCAATAAGATGTCGAAGATGTTTCTATCACTTGTCTATCCATGCTAGGCTAACATCCACCCTTCCACGCCCAACCCAGAAACACCAGAAGCTCTGGTGTCCAAATGACTCCAAACCCTGAAGGCGAACAACACAACCCACAAGAAGCGCAACACGACGCTCCAAGTCCAACCCAAGGCTCAACTTCACATCCCCAAAAAAGAACCCAAAAGGAGCCGGCTAACAAAAAAAGGGAGGCCCCCCCCCCCCCCCCCCCCCCCCCCCCAAAGAAAAGAAGAAGAAAGGACCCCACCCCCAAAAAAATAAAATACACACATAGACATACATATATATATATGTATATATATATATTTTTTTTTTTTTACATGACCACCCCCCCCCCCCCCTCTCCGCCGCCCCCTCCCCCCACAAAAACAAGCAAGAAGCCCCCCCCCCTCCCACGCAAAAAAAAAGTTTAGAGTTTAGGGTTTAGGGTTTGGGGTTTAGGGTCCCCACAAAAAAAAAGCTCGGAGGCGCTGAGGGCTCCCTCCGTGCAGCGCTCCGGGCTGCGCGCCGCAAAGGGGGCACCTGCAAAGGTGAAGAGCTGCCGGGCCGCACGTGTGTTTTTCTCAGACTGGGGTTTAGGGTTTAGGGTTTAGGGTTATGGGGTTTAGGGTTTAGGGTTTAGGGTTTAGGGTTTAGGGTTTACAGGGTTTAGGGTTTACAGGGTTTAGGGTTTAGGGTTTCGGGTTTAGGGTTTAGGGTTAGGGATTGGCTATACGGTTGCTACGGTAGGTTTCAACGAGGAATTCGGGGATTTGGGCTCTCGAAGGGCGTCCAATGTAGCAGGCTTACGAGTTCGTTCCTCTTGCACATTTCGGCGCATGGGAGGTTGGGGCAAGGCAGAGGGTGTTTTGACATGTTTTGACGTGAGGTTTTTGCCTGACGACTTGGCTCGCCATGAACTTTGACCAATGCAAGTATTTCCGCGTTTCACGTCTTTTTGCTGTCCCGTCCCGTATTGGGGTTGAAGGTGTGAGTTCTTGTTCCATCACGTGGGGAGATTTGCAGGCCACAAATCTTCACCTTTTTCGAGGAAAGACCTTCCTTTCGCCCGCCGGTCCGGCTGCCTCTGACCATGCAACACGTCTGGACATGCGCTGGAGTTGAGGCTCTCGCGCCAGCTGAAGATCGAGCTCCTTGAGGTCCGCAGAACAATGGGGCTAAGCCTGTTGATGGCAGATTGCCCGGTTCAAGGATCCAAGGTCCCATTCTGGGAGTTTGCCGGTCTCCGTTCAAGGTTGCAGTGTGACCAGGTGTATTGCGACAAGAATACTGCGCAGAGGGTCAGGATCGGGTTTGGGAATGTTTGGGATGTACAGTGCTTCGAAGTGAGCTCGTTGGTTGGAAATTGTTTGTGTGCAGCGGTTGCGCTTGAGGCCGCTCATCTTGCAACAGATAAGGCCTTACAATACAGCCGTCTCGGTGGATAAAGAATGGGATTGGGTTTGGACGTGAGGCGCGTGTTGCAAGTAGCTTGAGTCTTATCGGAATTGAGGCTGTGCCTTTCAGCATCACCTTGCCAGCTTACTGGTGGATGCCGCAATGGAGACCCAGCTCCTCAACACCTTTAATGCCCAACTGTAGCCTCTCAACCTCCTTGAGCCTTGAACTCGAGAGAAGCAAGAAGCTTAGACCCAATCTAAGCCCTGTGGAAAGACACCTTTCTCACCCCCTTCAGCCTTCTCACAGGAAGCCCTGCAAGACCCTGCGGCCGCTTCGAGCAGCTCTTCCACGACGCCGCATGCCACGCCCGTCAGCGAAGAGGACAGGGTTTAGCCGGGTTTAGGGTTTAAGGTTTAGGGTTTAAGGTTTAGGGTTTAAGGTTTAGGGTTTAGGGTTTAGGGTTTAGGGGAAGGTTTGGAAACGACCGGCGCCATCTGAGCATCATGGGACCCAAAGGCAGACGGTGCTACATTTGTTCTCGCCCAAGCTTACCGGCTGCCACGTGCTGCTGGCAAGTGTAAGAGCATGGCTGTGGTGATCTGTGGTAAAATTCCTTGGCCACACACAGTCGAGCTTTTCTGACCGGTATCCCGACTTAAAGCATGCGCGGCGGGCCGTCGGATGAGGCTGCACGTAGGTTGCGGAGTTTTGATTCAGGCTCGGCTATGGCGAACATGCGTGCATGAGTCGTCGCACACTCCGGAGGAGCTCTTCCAGTCGCTGCAGGAAGAGCTCGATCAGGCAAGGTCCATGACGCGCGCACGAGACGAAGCCCAAGCGTCGATAGAACGTCCCAACGACTCTTCCACCCACAGCCCCCTCAAACACCGGAGCTCAAATTTCTTGTTCCTGCCGTCCAGGTCGAGGTGTCTAGGACTCTTATACTTAGACACCGGGCTAACCCTAAACCCGAATAGCGCCCCTGAGAGCGCATTCTCAAGCCCAACATTCGCCAGGGACGTGCAGCACAAACCGGTCGAAGGCGAACCGCCGTGCGCCTCCAGGTGCAGATGGCGGGGGTTTGGGGTTTGGGGTTTGGGGTTGAGGGTTTAGGGTTTAGGGTTTAGGGCTTAGCGTTACGTCGATGCTTCATAGGATGCCGGCTGATACGGGTGGGGCTTCTGCTGTAGACCTCGGTTCGGTATGAAGCCCCATGGTGTGGTTCAAGAAGCAAGCAGACAGACTGAAGGCAGCGCGACCGCAACCATGGGGACACAGCGACTTGAGGGTGGCCGGATTTGTGTTTCTTCAGGGTTCATGCCAAGCGAGAAGTGAGGAGTGGAGAGTTCAGGGATGTTCAGGCACTGTTAACAGGGCTTTGCGGGGTTCTCAATGGCAACTGCGGTTTGGTACTTGCCTCATCTTGCCTTTGCCCGAAGATTTCTGTTCCTGCCGTCCTTGTGGTATCTCCACACCCTGCCTTGCCTCACAGGTCGCACGCCGATTGGATTCCGAGCGGTGCAGTGAGGTCCAGTGAGGGAAGGAATTTACGGCAGAGTGGAAAGGAGCAGCAGGGCAGAGTCGCACCAAAGAAGCGTCGACAATAATAGGCGAAAATGATGCGTGTCCTTGTGCGGAAGCAAGGTGTCGCGATGCCTGCGCTGTGTGGCTGAGGCTTGCTGATGACGTTGGTCCGAGCTGGCATGTCATGGCGTATACCCCCAAATAGTCTAATCCTTATTCTAGGAAAGCCCCCATCTTCGGAAACCCCCATATGGGGACTGTTGCGATCCTGGAAATGCTCTTTTGGACCGCCGGAAAAATCAGTTTGCACGCCCTTAGAGGCCCCAAAGCCACATTGGGCCACTCGTGGGATGATGTTGTGCAGGCTGCCTGGTCGCTTCGCTTCGGTGTTTGCTTGGCCGCACTGTGGGCCCCTGCTGAGAGAGGCTGGAGGATGCTTGGGTTTAGGGTTTAGGGTTTAGGGTTTAGGGTTAGGGTTTAGGGTTTAGGGTTTAGGGTTTAGGGTTTAGGGTTTAGGGTTTAGGGTTTAGGGTTTAGGGTTTAGGGTTTAGGGTTTAGGTTTCTCAGAGGCTTCACTGAGTTAGTTTGGCCAAAGCATGCCCCCAACTACTCGCCCCCTCCAGTCCTTCAAGAGGTAGGAACTTGCAGCCTGCAGTAGAACTGCCTTCGGGGGGAGGGTTTGCCCACGCTTCTACGTGATACGGGAGCCCTTCAGACACTCTTAGAGCCAGGGCCGCACCGCGGCACGTGACTGTTCTGTATTTTGGGGCTATAAGGGTTGGATCGGGAGATGCGGGACTTAGGTATCCACCAGGCGAGGTGCAGAGTAGAAGCCGGATGCCGTTAGGCTCTTTGATTTGTGCAAGGCAGTGGGTCACGTGGGATCGTCTCAACAAGTTTCATTGTAGCTTCTCTACAAAACCTCCACAATCTCAGACCCCAGAAGTTCAGACACGGCAAAGCTCTAAACGGCCCTAGCCTTGCAACGTGCCTGGAACCTAAATTGACCCTCGAAGGTGGGGGCTCCCCAGCTCTACCGGAGCTTTGCGTGTTCGGGCGCGGCCTCGAGGGACAGTTGAGTGTCGAAGCTGGCTTAGGTCGTTTCGGAGTTGATACCAGCGGTTTTTCGAGGCTGTCTCAAGTACCAGTCTGGAAAAATCGTGTGTAATCGATGCTGTCAGCAAGGGTACGCGCCAGTGAGCTGCCAGCCACGCCCTCTATTCGGCTGGATAGATGACGTTTTCAGCAGCCTGCTGCATGTGAGCTGGGCCGGTCGTGTTCAAACAGGCCCCAAGCCCCAACGACAAGAGGGGGGAGGTTCTCGAAGCTGGGTTTATACCGAGTCCCACATAGGAGAAACAGGACTCTGCTTTGTCGGTTTTCTCTTGGGGTTTCAACCTTAAATCCTAAACCCTAAACCCTAAACCCTAAACCCGGGAGTAGTTTTCGGATGGTTCGTGGTTCGCTCCCCCGCGTGTTGGGAGGCCTCTTAGCAGAGCTCCGCCTTCAGCTGCTCGGCGATCCGGCTGAAGATGGAAAGATGTTTTGGGGGTTTACGAGAGTAAGGGTTTAGGGTGTAGAGTTTAGGGTTTATGGTTTAGGGGTCCCTAATATGGACCCCCAGATAGTAGGATTCCCTTGAAATAAGGACCCCAGCAGGGTCGGAAACCCCCATGTGGCAAATCGAGTGCAGCGTGCATGGGGGTAAGCCGAATGTAAGCTGCATGATGCCTGAAGCAAACTGACCTTACAACCCATACCGTGCGGCATACCGTGCGCTGTAGGCAGACCTTGGCCTTCTAGTTTTTTTTTCTGTTGATTGGGGCAGGGGGTCCCGCGACCCGAGTGGAAGATTATGCTGGTATTAAGGTAGCAGCACGTATGCTTCGCTCGACTGGAATAGCTTTACAGAGCTTCAAGCTCAATCAGAAACGTCACGATAGCCGAGAAACATTTCAGTTGCAGGCCTGGCGAGAGGCGGCGATCTGTCTTCTTCGGCAACCTGATGAAGGAGTTATGGTGTTGTTGGGATGGGGTTGTGCGGTGAAGATCGCACCCTGCCTTCGTGGATGTGAAGAAACCTTTGCAAACCCATAGAATCACTTAGAACCACCCACTTCAACACGCTTCAAAAGTGGGGCAGGATGACACAGCGTCCGAGTCCGCGCTGCCTGCCGCAGTGCGGGTCGTACGGCGAACATATTGCAGGGACCCTCGGCAATGCTCGGCACAATCTTGGAGCCCTCTCCAACTCCTTGCCTACTTTGCCCTTCCGCCCAATTCGACGTCCATCAGAAAGAAGCGCTCCAGAATGAACGATGGAGCGGTTCTAGTTCATATGACACTTCAGCTGCTTCATTTTGTTTGCTCTCCAGGCCCCTTCCACCGCATGGCTGCTGTTGGCGCCAGCATTGGCGTAGAAGGCTGTAAGCTGTCTGGGATCGGACTTGGGGTGTGTCAAGGCTCAGTGTGTGTGTGTGTGTGTGAGACCAAAAGCAACAGTCTTGGCTTACTTCAGGCTTGCATACTGCTTAGACTGCTGCATGACAGCATGGCTGTCGATGGTGCAAACAGGTGGTCATGAGGTGCATCGGTGTTCTGCATGCACACGGCAGGGCTGGCGAACGACACCAGTATGCGGCACTATGCCGTGAAGAGCCTCAGAGACGTCGTGGTGGCACGCACCCCAGGTGTTGCTTTCGGTTGACATGTGATTCTCCAGTACGCATACCCACCAGCTCACCAGTCCGACGTCACTGTCTTGTTAAGACGCAATCTGGGTTTGATTTTGTGCTTTTTCTTTTGAGCATCGAATGTCGCAAAAAAAAACTGTAAGACGAACTAAAAAAGAAGGCGCTTCAGAGAATGCCCATCCATGGCGCCTTGGTCGACGACCCACTGGGAGTGGCGCCCGCGCTTGAGGCACTGGTGCTACTTGCAGCCGTAATGGCCACACATGTATACGTGTCTGTTGGTTAGCCGCTTCATGATATGCCGACGGGCGGTACTCAGTCGAAAGGACCAGGAAACTGTATGCCACACTGCAGGCAAATTACTGGGGTGTGGTCGGAATAGGGTTCCCAAGAAGACGGCTAGAGAAAGCAACATGCCTCGCGCAGGAGCTGGTGGCTTTAATTGTGGAGGTCATTGCTGCGCAATGCAAGCCATGGCCCAAGCTCCATGTCCAATACTGAGGGAAATGAAGTTTAAAGTCAGTTCTTGGCGATTCAAGAGACTAGAACTGAACTTCCCCGATCATGGGTTCCGTTTCAGGCGGTGCCCCAGGCTGTTGTAGAGCCTCTTTGCCTGTGCCCTGCACCGCTTAGGGCCCAGATCCGCATGAAGCTGGCTTCCGGAAGCTTTTGGTTTCGGGGTCGGCTTCCTCCTTCAAGTTTGGGTTCCGGCTTCGGGTCTCAACATCTTGAGAATTTGCCGGGGGCTTGCGCTGACGGAAGTCGACACCTCCCCCCCCGAATCCGCGGCAGGCTCTCCCAGTTCCAAGGTGCGGCTCAAGGCTTCCAGGCCAGGGTTTAGGGTTTAGGGTTTAGGGTTTAGGGTTTAGGGTTTAGGGTTTAGGGTTTAGGGTTTAGGGTTTTGGGGAACTGGGTTTTTTAGGCTTGGGACGTGGGACTTAACAGTAAGCTTCGCGAATCTACGGGTTTTTTTTTGGGGCTTGGCCCTGGGTCTCCTGGACCTGCGGCATGAGTCTTGGGCTTGGGCCTTGTGTTGTGGAAAGTTGCGGGGAGCACATTGAACACTCATTGTGTCTGGGCAATCTCCGGTCGTTCTCCTCCCATGTTTCTGCTGGCGACGTTGTTGAGTCTTATTGCTCAGTTTGGGGGTTCCAGACCACTCCATGCCTTCTCTGGGGGGCTGGACAAGCCTTCCTGTCATAGGTGACGGAGGACGAGGAGGAGTGGGCGCAGCCTTGCAAGCTGATCCAAGGCGCCGAGGGCATGGACCACACGAGCCTGAAGCCCTGTAGACTCCCAAGCATGAACCCTAAACCCTAAACCCTAAACCCTAAACCCTAAACCCTAAACCCTAAACCTGCCAAAAGTTGGGTCTTTGAAGTCTACGTTGGCTGGCCGCGATGTGGGGCGAGGAAAATTCTTGCCTCGGCGATCCTTGGAATAACATGCCTGCCCAAGATGCACCTCTGGGCATGTTGCGAGCTGAGGAGTGTTTGGCTCGATGTAAGCCAGGCAAAATCTGTCTTATCATTTGGCTTGATATCTCAGAGATATAGGTCACATGAGGGCAAGGGAGGGGGGGGGGGCGTGTCAACATACTGCAACCGAATTTCCGCAAGACGTGCAAACCCTCACAGCTTGCAATGTTGCATCGTGCTGCCCTAGATGCTCCTTTTGTCTGCTTGCGGGCTGAGGAAGGTTTTGTTTGTCTTGTTCGCTGTCCTGGAACTTTTGGCTGGTCGTAGAGCTGAACCAACTCGTTCTTTAAAGTTTGAAGTTTAAAGCTTTTTGTCTGTGCAGATTCCCGCATAGTGCGGCAGGATGAAAGGTACATCCGTGCACCCCGCCCTTCCCCCCTGGACTCCTGTGCTGAGAGCACCCCTCCGCTGGAGCTACTTAGTTTCGGGGCCCAGTAGTAGCTCCATCCTTGTCAAAAGCTTATGTCTCAAGTGCTTTGGTACTAGATGCCTGCTGACGCATAAATCCTTGAATGAAATAGTGCTTACATGTCTGGGGACGGAGTCGTTGGTGGAGGGCGAAGGGGAACGTGTGATCAAACTTTCAGGCGTGGCGAGGAGCAACTCTGCAACAAGCAAGCAGACATTGGGCTTGCCAATGGCAAGAATATGGGGACCACCCATATTCACAACATATGGGGGTTTACGATCATAAGGGACCGCTAATACCCCAGCTGGGCATGATTTGCGCCCTGTGATGCCAAATCCTGCCCATCCATTCCTGGGAGCAACTTGGCAGGGGATGAGCTGCACCTTTCGGACTGCGTCTCGAGGCACTTCTTTGGCTGCAGTTCGCATGTGAGGATACAAAAGGTTGGCGGCATGTTGGGCAGCATTCCATGAGGCAGCCGGCCCGCAAACGGTCCTGAATTTGCCAAATGACAGCAAATGGTTTTTGCTACAGCATGGTTCGAGTGCACTCACAGGCTCGACACGGCATTCCTCGCATCCCTTCTTGGCTCTCTCGCGGCCCGGTGGAGGTTCCTCTTCAACCAGCTGCATTTTCGGCTTTTTCCGAGCGAGCCGACAGTGAACGACATGAGGCAAAGCCGCGTCTCTGCATCTGATGTTTGAGTAGAGTTTTCATTAGCTTTTCATTAGGTTTGGGGCCGAGGGGATCAGTGATCAGGATCCATGACCAATGGTATCTTTGGCGTTTTTTCGGTGTGTCCCCATCGACCATGATCAGCACGCGACGGCTAAGGTTTTAGGGGCTTACGAAAATAGGGCACCCCAAGAATAGACCACCAAAATAGTAGGATCCCTTACAACAAGGACCCCAAAGAAGGTACCCCCGAATTTTCGGGGGTTATTAGACCTCAAACCAAGCCTCGGTTCCCCGAAGGCTGCGCCGAATGGGACGGCAACCATTTCTCAAGACAGCAGACTCCCACCGCGAAAGTAGTCAGGGTTTAGGGTTTAGGGTTTAGGGTTTAGGGTTTAGGGTTTAGGGTTTAGGGTTTAGGGTACGCAATGCAAACAACGAAGCCCTGCAGCCTGTAACTCAGAATACATAAAAAAAACCTACATCTCCCTGTTCGACTATACATGCGCGAGCCTTTTCAAAAACAAAGCCGAACCGCAACCCCTCGCTCCCTGAAAAAACACGTTCTGTACAAAGTCGTGGTCAACCATGTAAATGCCCTGCTATGGTTCACATATGTACACGCACAAAAACATGGAGAAGATTCCGGATGAGCCTTCATCGATCTACCTCACCTGTGTCCACAAGTATTCGGGGGCAAAATGTGCACCTGCATGTACATCCTTGCGACCTGCATCGCTGTGCAAGTGCAAGCCTTTGACAATGTGAATCCCGTGAGTCCTGTACCTGTGCCTCCAGAGTAGGCTCCGCGCACAGATCTCCCGCTTCGCCTGGCTTCGGCCGAGGCGCAGCACGACGAGTATCATTATCAGTATCATTCATTATCTAACTGCTGAGGGTGCTCGTCTGATTTTGCAAACCTAGTCTTCTCACAAGTGCGCTGGTGCTTTGTGCTGTGGCCCTGCAACGTGCGAGTAGCCATCAAGTCGAATCGCAAGTGCAGGCACCTCGATCTTCCACGCTCGCTGTCTGACACTGAACAGGCTCGGGGCTCCTCCTTGCTGAGTGTAAAGGGCCGTGGGCTTGCATGCCTCGACGGAGGGGAAGAAGACCTCGGCGTTTATAGCCACGGAGGGTGAGGGTGGTCGATACAAAGCAATTTCTCAGATGGGTCGTGCACAAAGCGGTCTTGGACATCTGTTCATTCGTTGGCAATGCTTGAATAGTGCATCTTCATAAACGGGCCCAGCACATTTGCCAGGCAGCAGAAGCAGTCTCTCAGCTGCGGCGTTTGCACGAGTTGCTTGGGACTCAGTCAGGCTGGGCGTAGAAGCAGACCAGCAGTACCGAAAGACGAAAAACCGCGGCAGCCACTCCCAACGCCAAACTTTGCATGGCTCTGCGTTTGGCTATGAAGGGGAGTGGATTTTGGCGGTGCACCTCGTTCTACTCTGCCTCCCCACAGGAGTTGCCCGAGTTAAGCTGATGGGCCGTCGTGCGACACTATACAGAATGGGATCACGACAGCTTGAGCTCTAACATGGGTGCCGGAGCATGACAGATGTGCATGCTGGGCCTCAACAACCATACTATTGCACGTGGCACGCTTAGTTCCTCGGTAAGGTATCTTTAGCTAGCAGAACTGTTGGTTCAAGTTCCCCCCCCCCTTCCCCAATGCTTGTAATATGGATCATGTAGCTCGGGTTCAGGTCTTGCACTGCTTAAAGTCTGCTTAAGTTCGACCAACTTTGTCTTTGCCATGGTTTCCACCGCAGCTTGCAGCTTCGACCTTATTCTTCTCACATTGAACACATAATCTCCTTGGATACGGCACGGCGCCCGAAAGGGTCCGCAACGGGCCTGCGGCTCAAGAAGTGTGAAAGTTAAAAAGCATCTACAACATGGAATTATATGGACACCCCCGCAGTAAAATTCTGGTGCGGCTCTGCACAGTGAAGACTCCTCCCTCCCGGAATTCCTATAGGCGAAGTCCCGCCGAAATCCTGGCGGCACTGGCCAGAGCTTTTCGTGTAGTCACGGAGGCCTGGCTTTCTGGCTTTGATGTACCATGTTGCACCTCAGCGCCGCTCCTGAACCATTAAGTCATTCAGCTGGATGCTACCGTCTCGTGAGGGTGTATACAGCTTCTGTGTACACTGGTCCCAGTCTATCGGAGTCTGAAGAAGAGAATCAAAGATAATCTTGTCAGCACTGCAGGCTTGAACAGGTCAGGAGCTCGAAGGTGAGGTGAGGCGAGGTGAGGCGTGGTTCTTGAACCCCAAAGCCATCCAAAGCCATCCAAAGGCCTGCAGGGAGATATGGGGAGTCTGCTTGCCGTTTCGGAGATTCGTGCCCGCACTGCAGGCCGCCTGCCTGAAGTCTCAGCTGACTGCTGCCTTAGATGGAGGCGACGGTGGAAGTGCCGGAACGGTGTGCTGCTCTGTGGGCCTCCAGGGACAGACAAGCCAAAGGAAACCCAAGTAAATTTAGCTGAAGCGTGCAACCTTCAAGTTTCCTTTTCTCAAGAGCATGAGAGAGTAATTCCATATTCTATACTACACCACGCATGTCGAGACCGGGTGGTCGGGGTATTGCGTGCATTCGTCTCCGCAAGCTCTTAATTGCACAAAAGCTTGTTCTGCTGCCTGCATCTCCGATGAGAGATGCTGGAACCGACGACTCAGCCGCGTGAGATTTCAGTGTTTTAGCAGTGTTCCCACCAATGAAATCGGGTTCGTCCAAACAAGAGCCCGGCATCTCTATCATCACCGCCCGACAAATCGATGTTGAATGTCGGACATGCGGACATCCTGAACGCCCAAACATCCGCCACAAGGTGTTATCAGGCAGGCCTCTAGGATTCCGAGCCATAAAATCTTGTAAATTCAAGTAAAGCTATAGGGACTAGGGAGCATTGTTGAAATTCCACTCTGTGCGTACACGGGTCAGGCATCTGCGGCATCCTTGCATGTCCTGTTTGCTGAAGGAAGGTTTCTGTTTGTTATTGCGAACAAGCAAAGAGGTTCCTAACCGCTCGAGCAACTTCATCATGGTCTAGAGCCTGAGATGGAGATCAGTGAGATCAGCTGCTTAGGGATGGTAAGCTGGACGCAGATCGGCACATCCGGCATTCCGCTTTCCGATGTGAGCACTGCTCGTGGTATGGGATGACTTGCTGCGTATGGCCGACTGTCATTCATAGGCTTGCACGTAGAGTATCCCGCTGTCTTTTGGCAGGCATGCTAGGAAAAGCTCGCTCAGAGGCGCCGCCGAGCAGGGCTCCACGGGAAGAGTTGAGTCTGCGGCTTGGGGTCGTTGGCCTTCATGAGTAGAATCGATAGATCGATCAAGCCTACTGAGCTCTTGCGAATATAAAGTCGAAAAGGGAGAGTTGGAGGCCTTACGCGGGAATGCGAATGACGATACATGCGGACAACGTTGAAGTGTGGGTGATCGTGGGTGCATGTTTGTACGAATCCATGTTATAGAACTCTACATTTTACAACATTAAGAGTACACATGGGGATGCTTTGAGGCTCCACAATTCAAATGGTGTCAGCAGTTTGTCTCTTGGAGCACGATCAGACATGCGGAGGTCAGCGCCTTGAAGGTTTGACAGCACGTGGCATTCGAGATGGCTAAGGTTTCCAATCTAGAGGTGTTGCAGTGAGATGACCAGAGGTCACCATGGTAGGTTTTAGGCATCTTGTAAGACAACAGAGCAAAACGTGTTTCAGCCCGCAGCACCGAACATCACCGAACTTCTGCAGAACCGAAAGCTCTCCGCAAGCCTGCCCCCATGCACTCGAAGCCCTTGCACCCAGAATCCTTGAAGCGCTGGCGTGCAGGATGATGCGTTCGGCGCAGACGAGGCTCTTCCACTCTTCATTCTGATTATGGTACGCCCGGCGCCTAGTGAATTTGCGACAGCACGCTGGGCGTGCAGTTTGCGTAGTGTTTGCAGCTGCTTGGAGTTCAGTGCTCAGTGACATGCACTTGCACTTTGTCTGCGAACAACTGCCGTCGTCACAGGTCTTGTTTGGTGAGTGTTGCTGCATTGTTTGCAGAGAATGTCTGCATCTGCTTGTGGAGTGTTGCCTCTGCCACTGGAGTGTGCAGCACAGGAGGCCGCTGGGCTGTCTCCGCTTTCCTGCCTTTGCCTGCTTTATCAGGTGCGAATCCGCCCATGATGGCCAGTGTGCTCAGCTATGCGGAGAGGTTCACAGCCTCTTGGAGCAGCACTGGTTGGGGCATCCGGGATGGAAATAGCCAAGTGCATTCCGATTCTTCATGGACATGTTCCATTTTTTTACCATGGCTTACGAACCCCGGCCTTATGTACTCGGACATGGGTGGGGCGGCTTGTGAGTCGAGGCGGGCAGCAGGGCATTCTGGGTGACCAAGGCCCGTCAGCAGCTGCGAACGGAGCAGGGCTACGCTTTGGCCCAGGCGCCCTTTCTCGCTGGGTCTCAAGGTGCTTTTGGTAGTAGCCCACACCTCGAATGAAGAGAGGCGCAAGCTGCGGTCTCCTTTGCTGCGACACTGCAACGGCAGGCCGAAGTGATTTCCGAAGTGATCACAGCAGTTTGCTTGCAAAACCTTGTGCGCCGCATGCTAGAGGCATGCCGCGACTTCACAAGAAGCTGTTTGGATCTTGTAAAAAAATGTAAGAGCCGTTATACAGAGCAGACGTCATCAATCAATACTCTCCTGGCGCTCTATTCTTGAGAGGCGCTCTCCAACCTGTCTCCCGGTGAGTGGGAGCGTGCAGAACTCAGAGAGCTACGGAACATTGCAGTAATTGCGCTCGATAAGGATGTAAGCCCTGCGTGAGTTTAACAGACGGGGACAAGTCCGCTACAGCCCCAGTCCTGAATGTCCCAGGAACATCACTTTGAGATTCAGGGGCTTCCCATAGCACCAACTACCGGTGCCAAAGGATCAGGATCCTGATTTACAAGCGTTCTACGATCAGACATGGCAGCACATAGAAGCACCAAGCACTCGCCAAGCACACGTAGAGAGGACATCATCAAATCGGCTCCACTTGTACCTCCGGGCGTCGTACACCGCAAAGACCCCACAATTCCAGTCGCCTGCTGCGGTATGGTTGTGCCTGTGGTTGTGGTTGTGGTTGTTTTTGTGGTTGCGGTTGTGGTTGTGGTTGTTTTTGTGGTTGTGGTTGTGGTTGTGGTTGTTTTTGTGGTTGTGGTTGTGGTTGTTGTTGTGGTTGTTGTTGCGGTCGTTGTTGGTGTATGTTTGTTGTTTGCTGTTTGTTGTTGTTGTTGCTGCTGCGTTTGTTTGTGTTCGTCGTTGTTGTACGTTGCGTGTGCTTTTCTTTGTTCCGAGTTTGTTGGCCGGTATGGCTGTTGATGACGTTGCCGTTGAAGCAGGAGCATCAGCTGATCATCAGCTGGTTCAGCTAGCAGCTGAATGTGTTACAAAAAACCCTCAACCCTCAACCCTCAACCCTAACCCTAAACCCTAAACCCTAAACCCTAAACCCTAAACCCTAAACCCTAAACCCTAAACCCTAAACCCTAAACCCTAAACCCTAAACCCTAAACCACGCCATGCCAAGGGCACATCGAGGGCGAGGACGTGAACACGGAGAGTTAACGACACCCCGAGATGTCCCGTGCCTGGAGCTCCCCCCATTTCACACCGGAGAGATCCGGAGAACCCTACACCCTAAACCCTAAACCCTAAACCCTAAACCCTAAACCCTAAACCCTAAGTACATCGGATCGAATGTAGCAGGTTGAAGCTTTCTAGCCGTGAAAGCAGAAACCAGGCACGGGGCTTCGTTGGCTGCGCTTTCTTGTGCTGCCTCGGCTAGTGCCCCCCTGGCAAACTGCCAGATGATGCCTCTTAGCAGATGCATCTTGGCGAAGTCGTGTAGCAGACCCGTTTGGCAAATGTAGACATGCTGTTACGGCATGAGAGTCGTTACCCCCAGAATATCGCAGGCAGCCTTGTCTAGGGAAGCATGACACATGTGAGTAGCGGCTCTGCACGTACTTGCCATTCGTCGGACCACCGGGAGCACACTCGCAGAATTGGGGGCATGGCAAGCCTTCATCTCGAACGTTGGAGTTGGACGTGCTGGAGATGCTTCCAGCATTGCTTTAGCATATTGGTTTTCTTGCAGACTTCCAAAGCTGTGTGCAGCATGCGCAATGCAGCATGGCAAGTTGCTTGCCAGCCTGTCTCTGAGTGATGTGCTTCCCGTTTTGCATTCTCTTGATGCCCCTTTCAGGAAGGACCCGAAATGTCTCACACCCAGGTGGTGCTTGCCTGGTGTAAAAGCAAGGCCTCATCACAAGCGGCACCTCGAAGCCCCAAAGCCCCTTCTTACCTGACATAGTATGGGTGGCTTGGGCTGCATCTATACATATCTTTGTGGTACATTTGCCGTAACTTTAGATCCTTACCTTTTTTGGGTTTATTGGGTTTCTTAGTAAGGTAGCTAAAAGTTTAATTTATAGCTACCCTCATGAGTGCATCTATACATATGTATAGCGTACAGGCTTGAGGCTTTCATGGCCTCGTCGCCCTTCTCGTTCCGATCGTCATCATCATCCCTTGTCATTCCTTACCCTCCCTGATCTGTGTATACACGCCGATGTAAGCCATGAGCATTTTGCATAGCATCATAGCTTCTCGATGCTTTCAGCAACTGTTGAGACTTGAAGCCCACAGGGGGATTCTCGATGATCTACCCTACGCGCCTCTGCAGTCCAGCAGTTTCTTGACATTTTGGAAGCACGACGGGGGCCGCATGTTGCCAGAATCGAGTCGTGATTGCATGTGATTTGCATGTGATGGCTCCGTGCAGCAGCATTCTCACTCTGAAAACTGCTGCGACAACCGAAAGCCCAACGACGTGCCAAGACATAGGCAGGCAGGCCCACAAGCACGCACGCACGCGCGCACCCACCCACCCACCCACCCACCCACCCACCCACCCACCCACCCACCCAGCCAACCACACACACACACACACACACACAAACAAACAAACACACGCACACACACACACACACACAGAGTGACAGGTAGAGCAGCTTCGCATGCGGCATCGCAGAACCTCTGCTTGGCCAACCTTTGCTCCGCGATGGATGAGGACGCCAAGACGATGAGGCAAGAACCAGCATCGCTTTGTGGTCCCTTTGAAGCTGTGTTTCTTTCTGTGCCTCATATCGTTGCAGAACAGAAGATGTCTACTGAACTATGGACTCCTACTGGCACAGTCTTGGGCTGCAGCTTGTTTGTGCCCGGTATGTGTTCGTTTTTGCGCGTAAAGCAAAGGCAGAAGGGGTCTAGCAATGTGAGAATCAGACAGCGACAGCAGACGTGCCTCCAGATAGCACAGAGGCACAACATCAGAGGGAAAAGAGACAAAGCCCATGTGAGGTAGAACACAAACGAAATACCCGCGATTCACATAGAAACAACAAAAGCAAACACAAACAGCGAGAATGAGGGGGTCGAGGGAGGCTTCCACTTCAGGAAGGTCCCATGAGGAGTAAGAGGGATTTTGGATTTCACAGAACCTTTGAATTGAGACTGCATTACGGAAGCCTTACGACTGAGTAAACAAGCCCGACGCAAAAGGGGAGGGGGGCGGGTGGGGTGGGAAACGCCGCTACGCAGTGCAGTGTTGTGTCTTTGAGGTGAGTGTTGCGTAGTTCTCTCCTGTTACTGGTACAGAACAGTTTACAGAATTGACGCCACACGCCTCATGTGAAGAAGGAATGCAGGGAGTGTGATTTCTGGTTGTGGGGTGCTACGGATATCGTCTCACTGTACATCAGCAGCTCAACACTGGTGCACAAGGGGAATCCCCCCACTCATCGAAATCGTGTAATCGAGTGTTTAGACTATGAGCGTCCGATCGAAGATACAGTCTCCCACAACTGCCTGAAAAGGACGACATGCATAATGTACAGAGTTTTGGAAGCTGTGGAGCATCTTGACGTTGAGGGTGGTTCGTTTACGTCATGTGATTTGTCGAAAACCCTGAAACGCCGCAACTTAGCCGCAACTTACATTGTTCAAGAAGAGAAGTGAAGATATGATGACAACCAGCTTTGACTGGACAAGCCACATGTGTTATCGCTGGTGTCATTGCGCTGTGGCTGGCCGACATGTTTGTGTGTCTCTTTTCACACGCACTCGTGGTCTAAATCTGATTCTCGTCGCTTTTGTACTGTCCGACTTGACAAAGTCGAACGCCTGCAAGTGGTGCAAATATGATATGAAACTAGTTTGGAGACGTTTTTGGGGCTGCAGCTCAAAGAAGCCCACGAAGCAAAGGTGCAGTGCATCAAGAACCAATCAAGTTGCTCTTTCCATTGCAGGTGGTGTCCTGTCATGCTCGTTGCTGCTGGGCCCGAGGCCAGAAAATCTTTGATTGCTTGAATCACGGGGGGCAGGGAATGTGGGAGTGAGGGCCCTATATATACCCTTTAAGGGATCATACAGGGCCCGAATCCCTCATTCCCTAGAGCCAGCCAAGGGCAGAATCAACAGGGACTCGCGAGTTTGGGTCACAGGCCCCGGGGTCCAGCCTTTCCGCTCTGGGCGGCGCGTCGTCAGAAGGTGATGGCGAGGCTTTGGCTGGCTGTGATGCATTTGACCCTTCACTTGCTTTCGGTGAACCTTTGTGCAGATCATGTAGGGTTACCAGATGTCTTGTGGCCTGGGCTTGGAGTACTTATTGCCAGTAAAGCCAGCCAGGGCAAATGTGTACTATGATTTCTTTCCGCAGGGAGGTGCTTCTTGGACCTTCGTGGATTTATACTAGTATTTGCGAACTTACTACGGCGCAGTGAGGCTGCCACCCGAACATCCCCGAACCCTGAAAAAGTGAGGCTGGATCGAGTTTCACGGAGGACGGCCGCTTGCATGTAGCGACGCCAGGACCCCTGCCTTTGAGCTTGTGAGCCTTGTCCAGAGTTGCGCTGCTCACTCTCCGCTCCCTGTCACTCAGATCAGGGTTGCTGACTAAGTGTGGAACCCCATTCGCTTTGGCCATAGGACCACGCACATCAGAAAGCTCTTCTATTCGAACCTCTGTAACCTCAAGCTGACAAGCTGACCGTCGCTGTAAGGGATGGTCTGACTGCTGGCGCCATGGGTATCTGCATTGGCACGCCAGGGAAGTCCTAACGATGCGCATGATCAGCTCATGGGCACTCCAGGAACCATCTGGGATTACGCCCCAGGGATACTCCAAGCAATTACCAGGCAACCCTAGAAGCAAAGAGAATTGAAGGGAACACGCCCAGCGCAGACCATTTCACATGAACCACCCTCTTTGGGGGAGACCTGGGCGAGGCAAAGGAGTTCAGGCGAGGGGACTTCGGGTGGGTGTTCGACTGTGGGAAGTGGGGTTTTAAGGCTCGATTGAACGAGCCACGGAGAAAGTACTTGCGCTCGTGAAATCAACGTATACTGCCCGGAAGAGCGCCCCCCCCCCCCCTCTCCCCCGTCATCCCTTTTTTCGGTGAGTTCAGGTCACCTTGTTGGCATTACCTGCCACATGACACGACCTTTTACTTTGTTTTGCCTTTGGGGTCCTCTAGCCGAGCCTGGCTCCGGGGTATTTCGAACCGTTTTCTTCATGCATTGATATCACAATTCTATGGGTCCAATGTGAAGCGGCCCGGTGTTGCTTGGCGTCGGTGCTTGGGTTCATTCTTGCGAGTTGATTTCGTTGAAGCTTGAGCAGACAGCTCTAGTTTGCATGCCGACGACTTAGGTCCGGTCTCTGCTTTTGGGACAGCGAGTCCCCAACGGTCGCGCTCCTGGCTTGTTAGTGGACTCGTATAGTATATATATATATATACTCATTTCTTACAAAGTTACACATAGCAAAAGGGCATTCCGCAGCAAGGCTGCAGCGAGCTCGCTCTCCCAGCTTCTCTGTCTTAAGCCTTGGCAGGGGAGGTTCGCCAGGGTGTGCGAAGACCTCATGTCACCAAGCATGCTGGTTTTGGCTGAACCGAAACTTTTGCGAGGGTGCAGCGCCAGCTACGGTTTGCATTGACAAGGTGAACGGTCAGCAGATGATTTTTAGTTCGTTTTAGTGGCTTACTTCAAGACATCCAAGAACTGCGAAACCCCCCCGCCCCCCAACCTACTCGCGCGCAACCCGAGAAAGCGGCTCGCAATGAGGTAGCAGTGACGTCCGTGGCGCTGGTGGCACCGCTTCTCGGCCCTGGCGATCTTGGGAAATGTGTATGAAGTTCTGAGGAGCGTTTCGATGTACATTCTTGCCGGAATCCTGGCCCCAAAATGTGCGGAGGTTCCTGCGACGGTCCGCGTTGCCAGGGGATCAACTCTGTCCGGCGCCCGAGGTCTGCAGGCTTAGTTGGTTGCAAGATATGGTGAGAGACTTAGGTGCTGTCAGGGTTTGATGTGCCCAGGCCATTGAAGCACCTGCATGGAGGATAGGAGTATTAAGTCTACGCTTCCAAAAGCCTACCCCCTTGCGAATTATTTTTTCTTTTTGTTTAAATAAAACCCAAGAGGATATTAAAAATGCATATTTTATTAAGGTTCTTAGAGGAGTATAGTTGATTCGTGACGACGACAACAGTTCGGTGAGTCTGTCGGTTCAAGGCCCTACTTACTAGCTATTTACAAAACATCTCCGGGTTTTGGGTTTTGGGTTTAGGGTCTATAGGGGGTGATGTGCTCTTGGAGCCACATGCTGTGGAGACTCTCACAGCACAAGGCATTCTCTACCGAGAAGCGGGCCGCGCTTTTCTAGTAGACGGTGCGTGCGGGACAAGTAAGAGAAACGGCGACACTGCGGTGACGTGGAGTAATACTTCCCAAGACACATCATGAAATTCAGAAGTAAAACAAAAACATGCCCGCATTGTAGTTCTGTAAATACACGAAAATGCGGAACATGTTACCACGCAGCGGGCACACAGTCCAACTGCCGGAATCCAGCTGAGAAGACATTATACATCAGTATACAAGAATAGTCCGAGATAGCTGGCAGATAGGAATATCTCCCAATTATACAAGGCTACTCCTTTGATATGTCGTGGAATGTGTTCATGGTCTTAGAACTATTCGAAATTTTGGGGGCCTGGTCCATTGAGACATGGCCTTGTGCGATTTCTTCACACCATGCGGGAGTACGGCGCTGGAGGCAGAAGTATATAGCCAAGCCGCGGATACATGCATGTTATCTTCATGGGTTCCCCTACTACCCCCCTCTATTCTACCCCCCCCCCCCGTTCCCCCCATAATTAAGGCTTTTTAGGGGTAAATCAGCCTAATTAAGGTCAGGGTATCTGCTCACAGCTTTCCCAGATGTCGATGTTACCTCGGTGCTGTGCCTGTTTCCAAGAGCGAGTGTACTTCTTAGTCTGCTCTCTCTCAGTCAGAATAGTAGGCCGGATAGTGGGGCAGCCCAGTGGCATCCGGGCGAGAACAGTGGACACGGACCCACTGGACATGCTCTTCTACATACGAGCTCAAAGATTCCACAAAGAAAATTTCAACTTGGTCGGCACAGCACACCTCGCATACTCCATTAGATCACGGTTGATTCCGAAAAGGCTTCGCATCTACATCCTAAACCCTAAACCCTAAACCCGAAACCCTGACTGCCCTTAACCAAGTCGTCCATTAACAAGGCCCGGTCATGGACCCAGAGCTGGTTGCCACGACAGAGCATCGCGCTGAGGACCACTACGTGCGTTTAGGGTGTAGGGTGTAGGGTTTAGGGTTTAGGGTTTCGGGTTCAGGGGTGTCTAGAATCGTTGTTTTGTGCAGCACCATCTCATTCGGAACTGACGCCAAATAACAGCGCAGTAGTTGTTAATGCGAGTCCTGGACGTACCAGTCCTTTTCATTCTTGTACATGCACTTTGAAGTTGACAAGCGCTGCCATGGACGCACTGGGCCCCTCAAGGCTTCGTTTAGGAAGCAGCAACCGGCTGAAAATCATGCAATCCCAAACTCATTGATCCGCGGCTGCGCGTGGGTCCTTCGATTGTCACACAAGCAAAGTCTCATGCCCAGCGCCAAGTTCAATTCCTTGAGGTTCTTTGCCGTCTTCCCCCCGGCCCATGAGCCTACCAATGTGGAGGTTCAGAGTGCAAAGCAGCCTTGTGAATAGAGAAGTGGATCGATAATCGCAAAGGAAGGTGAGAAAGCAGGTGCAGTGGATCAGGTACGATCCGGTGTGTAGAGTCGCTTCACCTTAAAATTGGTATTCCAGACATTTGCGTTTGTTCCAGGTGCTTGGAGGGAGTACTGATACAACCTAAGCCCTATAAACCCTATAGACCCTACAAGCCCTATAAACCCTACAAACCCTATAAACCCTATAAACCCTAAAAACCCTAAAAGCCCTGAACCCGAAAACCCTTGTGGTGTTTTGAAGGCGACGCTTCTGGCCGCGGTGCCGCTGCCTGAAGCGGAGCGAGTGGCAGCAGCCATGCAGGCGCAGACATTTCGCTCGTCCAGCCTTGTGGAGTCCACGATTCGGGTATTTAAGGTTTAGGGTTTAGGGTTTAGGGTTTAAGTCTTTGAAATTGAAAATGCCGAGGCTGGCTGTGGCCTGCTAGCATGCTGCTGTGTTGCGGTGATTTTTTTGGCAGTTCCTTCTGGAACAGATGGAGCATTCTCTGTGTAGTCAAAGCCCTTAAGAATTGGCTCACAGTTTCAGCTTTCCGGTGGGGCTGCGTTCATGTTTCAGTCGTCGTCGCGCTTTGGGTTTTGTGTTAGAGGACGGCCGTCGAGGTACCTGTGCAACACTGGCTGCTGAACGTTGCTTTTGAGAAACAAATGACTGGAGGAAAGTGACGTGCATGTAGCTCTGGGCCTACACAAGGTACGGACAGCTAAACACCAATAGCGGTGCCATTGTGGGGCGGCTTTCAGGGACCTGCCTCGTGCGGGAAGTTAGTTCATACTCGTAAGACCTGCTCACAAACTGGCTTGTCTTTATAACTTCGAGATTTGCTCGGGAGGCCTCCCTGAACTTCCCGGCCACGCCTTCTACAAGTTCTGCATCCACGCCCTGGAAGCCTCCGATGCTAGGACTGACCACCTTGCAGGGGCTTGAAAAGAAGTGTATAGAACTACAGTTGAAGGTTCTTTGTCATAGTTGGGCAACATTTTGTATTTTTAAGGGTACTTAAACCCAATAAGGAGTAGACATTTAAATTTTTGATACGATCCCAACCATGAACTAGGGTTGTGGCAACATGCTGTGGCGCATTCCCGCAAGGAAGCCTCGGCATGGTTCTACTGCGCAGCTTGGCACAAGTAGAGCTACCAGCAGACAGCACCGACAGCACAAGCACCTGCGCAGCTTTGCTTGAGATCTGTTAGCCTGCTAGCCCAAACAGAAAATTCTTATTTGCAGCCTGCACGTGCCGAGCAGCAGCTTCCATAAGCCCATGGTGGAACATCGTCTGGGACCTCCGGGCGCGAAGCCGCTAAGTGATACTGGCTGCGAAGAGGGGGCGGCACGGGTCATATGATCATGCGATGCGCACACGAACCCAAGCAAGCGTGTCAGCAGCGTGCAGCCTCGTGAGACTCGTGCAAGGGCATTAAACCCCAAACCCCAAACCCCAAACCCCAAACCCCAAACCCCAAACCCTAAACCCTAAACCTTTAAACCCTAAACCCTAAACCCTAGCTCATACCTAAACTTGTTACACGCTGTGAGGTCTATGAATGCAGTGCTAAGGTCTCGGAGCTCGGGTCCCAGGCCGGCTGCTACGACCGCTGGAGGCGCGAACGGGAAGGCCATATTTGCGCCCCAGACGTTCCTGTTTAGGGTTTAGGGTTTGGGGTTTGGGGTTTGGGGTTTGGGGTTTGGGGTTTGGGGTTTAGGGTTTAGGGTTTAGGGTTTCACAGCCTGAGGGTACATCCTAAGCCCTCAACACCGGTAGAATGCCCTATGGATCACTAGAGAATCCTGCGACCTCGGAGTCACAGCCTTGCATCTGCATTGGGGAGCCTGCAGCTGCGGTCTGCCTGGCGCGTGCACGGTCGCCGTAGTGCCGTGTGCCACTTAGGGTTCTGTAGTGTACCCAAAACCGTAAACCCTAAACCCTAAGTTGTGAGATAACTCTAGGATGGTTGAGATCTTGAGGGCTTCTTTGTGAAGGGTTCAGACGCGTGCATGGGGCACTAAACGTGCGGTGGCCGTGACGGGCAGCTAGTTAGAGCACAGATTTGCTGCAGTGTGGGAATTGCACAGTTGGTTGCAGGCCCCGCATGCACTGTGTGTCGAATGCCTTAACCCCTAAACCCCTAAACCCCAAACCCTAAACTTAGTCTGCTCTCAGGAGGCCCGACTATGTGCAGGCGACGCCGTGAGGCTGCTCTCATCGCCCTTTGCCTTGCTGAAGGCCCCTTTTTGGAATGCTCAAGCGGATGTTGCTGTTTGAGGCTCTGAAGCTTTAGAGGGTTGCCCGGGCGCAGACACATGTTCAGATGTGGGAGAAAAGCCCCAAAGAAACTTAAGTGTCGGTCATGAGCAGGGCCGCTGCTGCGCGTCCAGCCCTACCGGGCTTTCTACATGGCTCATGCAGGCAGTTCGACTGGCAAATAGGATACAAGTCTTCCACGCACATTGTATATAAGCACGCATCGCCAGCTTTCCTCGTTCGGCACCGTCGAGCCATGAGTGTAAGCTGTCCTTGGCAGAACAGGCATCCCTCTTCCTGGGCATGGAGACGAAAGGCTTCATTGCCGCAGCTGAGGACCGCTTCTGGCATGATAAACCCTAAACCCTGAACCCTAAACCCTAAACCCTAAGCAGGGCCTCCGTGAGACGTGTCTGGGAGTCTGGCCTTCGTCCAAGTCTGGGCATCCAGACTCAGTGCTCTCTGCCTCTGAGGTGTAGAAGTTCTAGCAGTCAAGGATCCAGTTGAACGTTTGTTCACCGCTCCTAAAGAAAACATAAGAACGACATGAATAGAGAGAGAACGAAAGAAGCAAGAGACAGATGAACAAAGAAAGAGAAGGACAGAAAAAAAAAAAAAAAAAAACAATTGAGAAAGTGACAGGCAGCGACACAGAGAAAGAGTACAGGTCACAACAGAGAAGTCGTTCTTTAGCCTGCAGGCGTCCAGGCTTGTCACACTACGCTCGGCCAGGGACTAACTGACAAAATGATGAGGATCCGACAAGGCTGTCTTTTAGAGACCGTTTGTTTATTTTTGTCGCACCCAACAGTGAAGAGACAGCGAAGCTTGTCGGGGCGTTTTGGGAGCTCGCATCCCCAAGCCAAACTTTTAAACCCACGACAGCACGCACTGGCACATTTTCGTGGCAAGAAGCAAGCTGCAATTCGAGATGAAGGATGCTGCTTTGTAACGCAGCTCTTGTCAACAAGTTGCTTGCGTGGACAGCCAGAGGCTTGTCAACCCGCAGGAATTGAAAGTAAGACATGAATCGCCGCCAAGCGAAGGGGATGCATGCTCCGCAGCGCGAGGCACAAACAAAGCTCTCACACACACAAACAGGCACGCCAAAGCGTGCACTTGCAAGATGTATGGCGGAACATGCACGTATGCGCTACTTTATTCGACTTAAAACTCATATACTTGTTATTGTTATTGTTGTTCTTCTTATTATCATTATAATTATTAGTACTATTATTCATATAAAAAATGTTTAATATTGTTAGTATGGTTACTGTCATTAATATTGCTAATGAGCTCTTGAACACAAACGGTGGTGGATTCTGGATACTAAGCTCCGACAGACGTGGGAAGCGAGAGACTCCGAAAAACAACGTAAAAGACAGACAGTGCGAGCAGAAGGGCGGCGTAGGGCAGCTGGCGAACTTGCCCAAAGAGGTGTGGTTGCGGTTCAGGGTCTAGGGTTCAGGGTTCAGGGTTCAGGGTTCAGGGTTTAGGGTTTAGGGTTTAGGGTTTAGGGATTTAGGGTTTAGGGCTTGCCCTGTTCCTTTCGAGTCCGAGAGGCCGGCGTTTTTGCTTTGCTGGATGCCCGGCAGCTCCCGGGCGCCTGCGGCGGTGTTCTGGTCCGGGAGGCAGCGGCTCCTCTGCACTGAGAGGATGCGAAAGGCATGGAGGATATGGGGGTTTTCGAGAATGGGGGGGGTGCCTTTTTTGGGGCCCTTATTAAAAGGGAAATCTTACTATTTTGGGGGTCTATACTATGGGTCCCTCATGAGGATATCAGGGTCACATCGGTTTTCAATATTTTTTCAATGGTTTTCGTGGAGGAGAGGCCATGACAGGTATATCTAGATGCAACAAGCGAGAGCCAGCATAGGTGGAGTCTACTGACAAAGTGCTTCGGAGGATGATGAGCTCGATCGGGCTCTCCAGTTCGTCAGGCGTTGGTGTAGGTGTGTGCGGGTGTATGTATGCGTGCGTGGGTGGGTGTAGGTGTCTGTGTCTGCGTCTGCGTCTGCATCTCTGTCGGTTTGTTGCGTTTTTAGAAGACCTTTTGGCCTGGGGTCGTCTTCCTCAGGTCTGTAAGTTCTCTCAGAGAGCTGCATGGAAGGCGCCAAATTCAGACTGCGGGCTTGTGACTGCCCATGGCATGCGGAAGTGCGACCCAATACTTCCCAAGCTACATCCTCAAACGCGATGCCTTTGTGGCTGTCTCAATGATTCTTCTGCGATTTCTCTTCTTGGTTGTCTGGGCTCGAAACACCCAAGAAAACCCGTAACGCCCCCTGGCATCAAGCCCTGAACAGAGCAAGCCTTTTTGCAAGCATGAGAGCCCGATTGTGACACATATTTTACTTGGGCCCGTGTGGTTTCTGCAAAACTCATCGTCTTTTGCATCCGAGGAGTGCAGCTCTATCTGTTGGAATTTTACCTTGGGATGTTGCCCCTTAGACTCACAGAGTCCTAAAAAGGGATGAAACAGGTACTATATCCAGTCCCCATTCAGGACTGTTAGTTTTGAGGGGAACATCCCAAGTTCTACCTTGTTTGACTGATGGATGGAGGAGTGGAGATGGGGGGGGGTTGGGAATGTGGGGGGCCTTGGTGCTGCAGTTGCCAGAAATTCTTGGCAGTGCCGCTACAGGCCCACAAACATTGCCTGGCAAAGCAGTCCCAGAGACTGGCTGAGCCGGCTCGATTGTCTCCAGAACCTATAGATGGAAAGTTGCTGCCCGCGGGCCTGAAAGAGAATCAAGAGTTGCTTGCCATGCTTGCTTACGTGTGCTTACATCATGCTACAGAATCATGTTCTCAAAGCTGTTCCCCCTAAACCCTAGACCCTAAACCCTAAACCCTAAACCCAGCTTGCCCAGGATTCGGAACAGCCAGTGGCACTCATGGCACCTCCCTTCGGTGTCAAAGGCTCGGACTTGCCAGGGTTTAGGGTTTAGGGTTTAGGGTTTAGGGTTTAGGGTTCAGGGTTTAGGGTTTAGGGTTTAGGGGTTGCAATACTAAATTCAGAAATGCGAGAAGGTCAAGGTCTTGAGTGGTTCTCCAAGATGATAGCATATGCTAACTTACAGTTGTGAATAAGTCTAGCACCGTTTGCTGCAAGGGTACACGTTCTAGGAGTTGACGTTCCAAGTCCAATTGCTTTCTGCCCCAGGCCAGGCAGCATCCTTGTGCGTAGTGTAGTATAGCATAGGGCCTACCAGGCCCAGTGCAAACCCACTGAAAAACTGTTGAAGCTCACCTTCTTCATCACCTTTGCCCTCCATGATCCTTCTTCGTTCAGGGCAGCGGTGGCCGCTCAACCCTGTGATCCCTTTGAGCAGTGCGCTGGGCAACTTCCTGTGGATGCTGTGCGGACTGATTTGGCAGTTCAAGAGATTTTCGCATACTTTTTTGCATCCCTAGTACTTGGTGCCCATGGGGCTCGAGCAAGGTTGATCAACTTTCCATGCCGTGTGCCCCCAAAATGGGGTCTAGCGCGACAAGAATGTGCCCTCCGGACCATGCCAGGTATCATCTCTGCCTTTCTGGGCACGCTGAGTGCAAGGTTCCTGCCACGGGATATGCAGAGCATCAGCAAGGCGCGAAGCCTGCGGCTGGTTCAGACCCGTGTGTGCAAGCTCATGGTGTACCAGGAGGGCTATTCGGCTTTAAAATCCTCATCATGAACCCTATAAAGAGGGCCTTTTAAGGGATAGGGTAAAAGAGCCCATCCTGGTATGCTGTTGTGGTTCCGCGTTTGGCTTTGGGTTTTGGGCTGGCAGATGCGATGTTGTGGGTTTGTCGGGAGTCGGGGCTGGAGAGGTTCCAAAGTATTCCCTCACAGTCATCTAGTGGCATACTTATTATAGACTCCGCTGTACGACATATACGATTCTAGAACGCTGAATGTTTCGCACTTATTTCTCCGGGGTTTGCAGACTCATGCCTCAAAGTATTGGTCCCGTTGTTGCCGAAGGCAGCGAGTGAGACATCGGATCTGCTTGGTGGGGGCCAAAGAAAGTTGCGACTCTGCTGTTCTTGTCGGTCAGTTCTGGCATGTGTGTCATCATACACATGGTTGGCAGTCAGAGTGTTCAAGCATTAGTCTTTAGTTAGGGGGCACACGGCCAGAGTACATAGTGCATGGCTACTTCGTGTTCATGCCAGTAGACACGAGGGCCCCAAGTACTTCTTACATCATGCTTAGAGGCTTCGAGAAGCAGAGATCTTCTTCGACTCGAGGCCTCGCGCAAAATGTCCTGTGCACGCTGACGATCGTCCTCAACAGTCGAGAGGTCCTTCGTGCCAGCTCAGGGCCCGAGAGCTTGGCGTGCCCCACGCAATGTTGCGCACTCTGCAACTTATAATTGCGCAAGGGGCGTTGCAATCCGCTGCTGGTTGCTGTCGGACCATGTGTGCTGTGTCCGGCCGTGTAGGTGGCAGCGCCCGTGCTGCTCCTCTCGCCCTTCAGCCTTCTGGCGGGCCCCAAGCTCGCGAAGGCTCTGCAAGAGCAGGGAGCCAAGGCTGCTACGCAGCGGCACTTGAACGTGGGGGTACCTGGAGCAAACTTGCCAGTTCTAAGCTGTGTGCACACCTGGTGTGTGCATATTCTGAGTTCTGAAGGTCGGCGTCACCAGGGACGTCCCTGCACCTCGGATGGCAGTAGGGTGTACCGAAAACCGCATGAAAAGCATGTGCGCCCCGAAGACATTTCCGAAATTAGGAGTACCTTATTGGGGTCCTTATCAGAAGGGAAGGGAGTCCTACGATTTGGGGGAATTGATCAGGGGTCCCTTATTTTCCTACATTTGAGTATCTTGAACCGCTTCTGCGTTCAAAGATACCCCCAGCCCCCACTCCCACCCCACCCACAAAAATGCGAGTTCGTTTGTAGTCACAGATGCAAGGCTCATGATTTACTGAGACCGTCACTCCCAGCACTGCCTGACCTCGTCTGTAACAGGACAGAAACAAACACAGTTGCCGTGCCAACGTGTCAACGGTGTCCTGACAATGCGCCCAGCCTGACGATCTAAGCCCAAATCTAACCGCGACAGACAGAACAGCTCAAACTCAGGTCAGGCCGCCTCCTGTCGACGAGCTGTCACTTGGTACCGTGCGAGGTTCTTCGCTGCGCTCTTTGGCCGAGATGGGTTGGAGCTCTTAAAGGGTTGCTAGGAGCGTTATGCTATGGAGCGTCCCCCTTAACCCTGAACCCTAAACCCTAAACCCGATAAACCCTAAACCCTATAAACCCTCTCTCTCTAGTTACCATATCGGGAATGCCGCCCAGGCTCTTTTTTTCAGGTCAGTTGTCACTGGCAGCCCAAGGACTTGCAGCCTGGAGCTCTCACAAGCTTCCGGTTGTTTCAGAGCACTACCATCCTCATTGTTGCAGATTTCGGGCAAGCTGGGACCTGAAAGAACCGGTTTCCCAACCTTCAAAGTCATTGAAGCGTCCCAAGATTTGCAGAACGAAGAGCTCCCGGTCTGAATCCCAATAAGGGAAGTCGTCAGACCCCCCAGAACCCTAGGCTGTCGAACACGCATGCCCAGACCCGAAACCCTAAACCCTGAGCCCCAAGCCCTAAACCCTAAACCCTAAACCCTAAACCCTAAACCCCGAGTTTCTCCCCGCCGAGGTGGGCTCAGCGATGCTGCTCCGCGTCGAGGGGCATGCTGCCAATCAGGTCAGGTTGTGGATCTTACCATCGATCTTGCATTTAGGGTTTAGGGTTTAGGGTTTAGGGATTTCAGGGTTTATGGATCCAAAGGGCGCTGCCTCTTCTGAACAAGTGCTGCTTTGCGTTGTTTTCTTTGCCAAGCTTGGTGGAGAGAGAAAAGTGGGCGGTTCCACTTTGCTGTTTACCGTACGAGCATCACCGAAGAAATCCCCATGCACCGTACGAGCCCTCACCGCACAGCCTCTCCGAGAATTGCCTTGTCACTCCCACACGACATGGTCCCCATGGTATGGGTAGCCAGCAGCATGCACACCTACCTTCGAAGCTGCCCTCGTATGGATGCCCACAATACACAGAAGCATCTCAATCCGGCCCATGCAGTAGTCTTGGCGTTGAATGGAGGAGATGTTCCATCAAAGAAGGCACATAAGATCAAGGAGGCATGAACCCACCCAGATCGATGCACTTTGTTGCGCGGTCTGGCTGTCTTGTCCATACTTCTTTGTTGCGCGGTCTGGCTGTCTTGTCCATACTTCAATAAGAGCTATCAGTATCCTCTCGCACCCATGGCGACGGACGGCGCATGTTCACTCGCAAAAGAAAACTCAGAAGTCTCCCAGTGACATGTTGCAACTTGTCGCAAGTGACTCGCGAGCTTCCCACAGGCCATCTCATTTCGGATGCGAGATGCAGGCCGGGCAATTGGAATTGGCTGTCAAGGCTGCAATGTCTCTGACTGCTCGAGGAGCTTTGGTTTGCTCAAGATTCATGGGTTCGATGATGCTCGCCCGCGTGCTGAAGTTTAGAGCCTGTATGTGTCACTTAACATGAGGAGTTGAACCGGCACGGGCGTACGATGAGGATCAATATACAGGTCTCGCTTGTGTTGCGCAACACTCGCCCCAGAATCTCAATTCCGAGGAACGTGGTGCTCCCTCCCTCAAGCGCACCAGAACAAACTGTTCAAGAGGTAGGATGTCCATGGGCGAGCTGCAGCATGCAAAAGCTCCCACTTTGCTGCGCCTTCATGAAGCCTTTCGCCCCAGGCATGCTGGAGCATCCAAACAGCAGAGATAGCCTCAACCCCGACGGTTTTACTTCTTGATCCTAAGTCGTTCTTGGACTTGAGTAACTCCGAAGATGCGGGCGACGAGCAGGCCATGTTGATGTCCAAGAGGGCTCGGAAGTCCTGGCTGTCGACTTGGATGCAGCGGAAGGCCTCCTTGGGTGTGCAGCTGGGTCGTTTAGGAGGTGGTAGGATTTGCAGGGTTCGTTTAGCTTTCGTGGTTTGCAAAGGAGCATCGAGGGTGTAGCCGAGCTTGTAGCCGTTCAACGGTTTGAGCCTTCAGCGCTGTGTGTGTGTGTATGTGTGTATGCTTCTGCGGGAGCTTTCAGTATGCACCGATACACAGCCTGCATGTTGGCCCGGCAAGGAGGTTGAGGATTAAGGGGTTTCGTTTGAAAGCCTCGGTTCCAGGGTCCAGGGTTGCAGGGCCGCAGCTGGCGCGTGGTTGCCTTCAGCGCTGGTTGGGCGCCCGGCACCGCGCAGGAGACCCAGCATGAAATCCCTGACAGGATTTAGTACATGACATGCAATAGTGACATGATGACATGCAATAATGAGGTGCACCAAGGACGTGCACATGACATGTGGGTAAATCCCCAAGTAGGGGTACTCTTCATGTACCCCAAAGTATTAGAATCCTTATTATAGGAACCCCCCAAAAAGGGTACCCCTATTTTCGGAAACCCCCCAAATAGGGTTTAGGGTTTAGGGTTTGGGGTTTAGGGTTTAGGGTTTAGGGTTAGGGTTTTTTTATTTGGGCCCTTCGGGGCCCTTGGCATTAGTTGCTGCATGCCGAGGTGGCCCCAGCCGCGCTGCGGTTTGGCCTCCCAAAGTCTGGAGGTTGGCAAGGGGTTTAGGGTTTAGGGTTTAGGCTGCGGTATGCTCCAGGCATGGCTGCCCATCAGCCTCAATAGTTGTCGAGCAGAGCAGCCTACCATACACGATGCATCGGTATGCAGCGGCTGGCCTGTGAACTTTTTACAAAGTTAAAAAATTTGAGTTTTGGACCCTGTTTCGTAGGGGCCCCCTGATTAAAGTTGGCTGGGTTATTCAGGACACCCTGACTGTTTGGGGGTACAGACCAGGTCCCCCTTTGAAGTCAAACCGTTCCCGAAATCCGTCATTTTTTTTAGAGAATTCAGGGCTTGTTTCGGCCCAGAGGCTCCGAATTTGGATGACTTGGTCTCTTGGCTTAAAGCCGGGCCTTATGATTTTAAAGCCGGGCCCTGTGATTTTCAAGCCGACCTCATCCATTCCAACCGGCCCGAAACCATTACTTCCCTTTCTTGAAACCATTTGAAAAGTTGGTTTCGTTCAATCTGACAAAGAGGTGGTCCAGGAGCCCCCCTCGGCCCCAAATAACGGCATGTCAAGGCCCCGACCTGGAGGCTCCGAATTTGGAAAAATCATAATATGGATCCCTTTTGAACTCATACAAACTCATCCCTTTCAAATTCACACGGATCCCTTTTAAACTCGTATAAGCGAATCGCTTGTAAATTCAGATGGGTCTCATTTTAAGTTCATATAAGGTCATCCCGTTTAAATTCATAATTATGGACCCATTCTAAATGCATTTAAACTCATCCCTTCGAAAAATCATATGGATCCATTTTAATATAAGCTCATCCCTTTTAAATTCATATGGATCCGTTTAAATTTATATCAATTCCTTTGTATTGAATTGAAATCACATAAACCCCCGGGCCCGTTTAGACGGACAAAAACAGCTTCGACTCTTCGACTTTTTTTTTTTTTGCGGGGGGGGGGGGGGGCACATTAAAGAGCGTCCAACATTAAAGGATTCTGTCCGCGCCTCCCTCCTACAAAAGGGAAGCCCAAACCCGAAACAAGTCACACACCCTGTCAATCTTTGCTGCCAGGACTGACCAGCGCCAATGTGCTTCTGTCAATTACAAGGCGCTGCAATGGCACAGAGACGCCAGCAGTGTCGAAGTTTAACCCAGATGGCGTCCTAAAGTTTATAAACGGAGCACGCCAAACGAGCCCTCCAAGAATTCTCCCCACATTCCTATGATTGATGTTATTTGTCTCCAGGCCTGGGCCTTGTCGCCCGCTGGGTTTGGTCCTGCGCGGCGTTGAGGCGTGAACCTTGGCAAGTGTTGGCAGTATTGGCATGGCACATGTGCGGCTTAAGCTGAGTTTGCATCGGTGTTGGGTGCACCTCGTATATCCTCGCATTGGCGCATGTGTTGCATGAGGCTGCTTTTGTGCGAGCGCTCTCCACTTTGCAAATCCTGAGATTGCCATGGCTCATGCGGTCCCCATGGGTGTTTGTGCGCTCACCTCCTGCGTGGCAGGCACATTCTTTGACCGGGTTTCCTTGGTCTTGTCCAGGGTGAGCCGCGAAAGCCAAGCATTTCAAGTC